TGGCCGCGCTGCGTCCCGCATCTCTTGTCTGTATTCCTGCCTTGGTCACGGCTTTGAAGTCGGGGCCAACTCAGCGGCGTGCCCGTGAGGGGGCAGGGGGCGGGGCGGCCAGGGTCAGCAGAATCGAAGAGTGCGTCAGGTTGGAGTGGACCAYAGCGGGGCATCTGGTCCAACCTGCTCCGGCAGGGCCATCCCAGAGCACAGCGTTGTGTCCACGCGGTTCTGGAATACCTCCAGTTAGGGGGGCTCTCTGGAGATACCCGGTGACATTCAGCTGCTGCTTCACGAAAACTGGGGCGTGTGTGCGAGCAGAGCGAGTTGCGCAAGGAAGCTGTGCCAGGAATTGCTTGGCGGGTGTAGCCGAGGCCGGGGCTGCGGGCAGCGCACCCCGGGAGATGCCCGTGGGAGCCATCGCCCGCCCCGCCGGGGGCTCCTGCTCGGGGGGCGGCGGCGCCGGGATAAAGGATCGCGTCTGTGCAAACACGGATTCAGCGCACGGAGCGGAGAATGAAGCTGCCAAGGCACACCTGCGCTCCSGGGAATCACCGTCCGTGCCATCTGCACATGTGGGCCTCGGCTGCCGGGGATTGCAGGGGAATAACTTAAAACTGGTGGAAACAAACATSCTAGAAATGTGTATGCTCTTGCTTTCCAGGGAAACAAAGTTACCCACTTCATATATGACGGGAACTTTAGAGTTACTGAACAAAAATACCACTCTAAACCTAAGCACTTACTTCAGAGAATAGGTTAAGTGTCAATGTTGAATGAAGTAGCTTCAATGGGGCAGTACGTGCTTAAAATATCTTGTTCTTACATCTTAAATCTATACTTAGCATAAGCATTAAACTGTTAATTTCAAGATGAAAAATAATTTTACATTTTTCAGTATCATCCTGGTCTTTAGATGGAAATTTCGTCTCCCAAAATAACACTTGTTCTTTTACAAACATGCATAAGACTGATAAAAGTTCTTGGGAAAAGAAAGAAGGCCCACAMCTCTTCCTCAACAGAATTTTGATGTATTTTCCCCATGCATCCCTTCCGTTTGAGAGTGGCAAGAGGTCCATTCATCAAACGCACTCTGTTTGATCCCTGGATAGCTCATGCAATCCTTAAATAGGACTTGAGAATAATTTCTCTCAAGTATTATTTGAAAGTGTGTATGWATGTATGTATGTGTGYRTATGAAAGTATWTATWTATTTATTTATTTAATAYAGACTATTTTTGCACCATCTCYCTTCCAGTCACATTTTGAATGGAAGAAAGATTAATTACAAATATGAGCTACTTGGAGAAAATAGAATAAAGAACCACAGAGCTCTTGCCATCTGCAAGAAAATTATTGTGAGGCCCATTCTGGTGAATTTGGGTGCCATGGAAGTGGGCATATATTGTGCAGCAGAAGCAGGCACAAGGCACTGCTCTGTCAAGGGCAACAAATTTTTCTTCAAAAATTATTAAATGTTAGAGAATGTATTTCCAGCCGTAATTCTCTTACATATGAAACTGCATGTTGGGTTTTTTTTTTTTCTGCTGATAAAGTGATGCAGATCAATTATAATAGTTTTGTGAAGAAAGACATTTCCTTCTAAGACAGTTTTCTGGAAATTCTGGTTTTTCAAGGATAGCWGATGCAGATGTAGTGAGAGAGGTATCATCAGCTTCAGGACTCAGATCTTTAGTGCACTGTTTACGTGCTGTGTTCTTGTCCTCTGAAGAACACAAATGAGAAACTGAATAAAAAGAATTAGTATTTTAAATTACATTTAAGGTTCTCTCCCTGTCTCTCCTTGTGTTCCTGTGAACTGYTTTCCCTCAAAAATGCACTTACCAACAAAGGGCATGTCAACAGTATGGGAAATTTATGTTCTATTCCTGCAAGTAAATACATGTACTGAGAACATATTTTCAATTGTGCCCTGTGAATGACCTTGCTGGAGAGTGCTTGTGCAGTTCTGCACACCAGGAGCAGCCAAGTAGGTGTTTCACCCAACTGGCCGTTGCCAAAGCATAGTGGTCTCAAATTTTGACAGGCAAGAAGCTGAAATCCAGGAAAATTWGTCCTTTTAAATAATTGTTTAGGATATAACTAAGTATCTATTGGCAGAAATCTTTAGTCATCAACTTTCTACACATTTTTGGAGCACTCTCTTTTWATGAACTACAGCCAAGTTATGTGGTTATCACCCTGCTTAAGAGTAGTCTGACTTGAACCTCTGATGAACCTYTACACTTATCAGCCAGGTTGACAATCTCTTGGGTAGTTCACTGCCCACATAGCAGAAAGACTCCCAGGCAACTGGGTGAAAAATCAGTTCATTATGTTTAAACACATCAGCAAGGTGACAACTAGAACAAGACGTTCAAATCCCTAATCAAAGACAATTGAGAAACTGTAAAATAAAGATACTATTTCTTTTCTGACAGCAGTGTTACAACATACAGTGCAGTCAGGAAACGATTTCATTTTGTCCTTTCCTCACAATTATTATGATAATTGCTTCCACTGGAACTTTAAAGAAGGTCAGGACTATCAGAATTTTTATTGGAACATTTCCCTTCTGGTTAAACCATGACACTGAAGTAGGAACAGTTCCAAAGTTACTTTTCACAGAATAACTGATCWAAAGTTAAAATGAAGGCAGGAGGGAAACAGAAAAATATAAACCAACCAAAAACCCAACCCAAACCATGACACTTCGCAGGATTCAAAAATTCTGTGCTGGCTGCCAGAGAAGTTGCCRGGGATCCATTGTGGACAATGCTGCAAACATGTATTGGCTGAACATACTGTATAGCTATAGACAAAAACAAACAGGATGCTGGGGTACATGTGGAATGAGATGAGGAGAAATASAGAGAATGGAACCAGGATGTGTCAGCTGGGTGGTGCTTTCTTGTATGTGCTTGTTGCATGTCACACCTCCCTTTTGGAAAATTACCTCCAAAGGTGAATATGTTTTAAAGGAAGCTGTAACACACTATTTGGTACATGGAAAACTACCCCCATTAAAATTTGAAAAGAGTGAATTTTGAAACTTCTGGCTTGCCTCAAGAAAGTAACTTTTGGACATGCAAAGAAGGCAAAGTCAAGTTCTTCCATTTTCCTGAGCCACACGTTGCTCAGATAAATTAAAACCCAGGACATTCAAAACCAAAAAAAAAAAAAAAGATTTTTCCCCCTTCACTATCAATGAATTACTTACCCCACAATACCAGGAAAATAACGAATTAGTTTTAAAAAGGAGCTGTACTTTTTWATAAGAACAATAGCCAGTTTCAACATACTTTGCAATAGAATTCAGATGTCAGCCACCAGGGTAGGAAGGGGACCCTTGGCCCACGTTGATGAGACAGGTGGTTGGTGTGGGGYTCAGGTGAGCCTGGCACTGCTCACTCTAAAATTGCTCCACTCCTGTGTTTCTGTGGCCATGTCTGGGGACCTGACGGCCGAGCCAGAAGCTACTCTTGCAATTGTGAGTTAAATGTGCTGGTGAATTTCTCTTGGCACCCAGATCAAGCAGATGAATCCCATTCCCTACTGTACATCTTGGCACCTGGCCTCCAAAGCTGGGTTGCTTGCCAGCTCCACTGGGAATAGCACAGTGGCCAGGATGGAGGCAAGCTGACTCAGGGTAAACMTTATTAGTGGTCATTCAGCTTATAACCATTTGGTTTTCAACTTGTGCTCAGACATGTCAGCTGACTAGGAAGTACATCCATAGCCAGAGAAACACAAAATGGGTTGGTTATCAACATTCCTCCACCTGAAAGATCCTTTGCATCAGTATTTTTGCAAGCTTATGCAATGGTTCCTGCTCTTTCCTGCACATGACCAATAATTTTTTGCACTACATCCCACCGGAAGGTTTTTCTTTCCACATCCACTCCAAGCATCTGTGGAAGCTCCACTCCACCCCAGTAATGTCCCTACAGCAGGACCTTTCATCCACCCAACACACGATGGGCCTGAAAGTCTTGTTACGCATGATGCAGGATGAAAGGTGGTGATCATACAGCACAACCAAAACTGTTTGATGTTTAAATTGCTGGCATCAAAGTCATGAAAGGGCACAAGGCCAGCATTAAAACATTTCTGAAGTAAGTGGGACAAGAAGCTGGGTATAACCAACCCATTCTCTGGCCATTATTTGATTGTGAGGTAAATGGGCTTGCTTGGGAAATGCAGAAAAACAGCAGTTATATCTGACTGAAACCTTCATATTTGCATATGGAAACCATAGCCACAAGAACAAATAAGTAAAAGCAACCACAGAATGAAGGTTCCGAGCATGCATACAAGCAAAACAACATCCACTAACCTTATTTTTCTTTARAGCATCATATATCAAAGCAGGCATCAAATATTTATTCTTCTAATTTTATATAAAGCTCTTAACTAAATGCATTTTTCTTGTCCTTCCCTATTTGCCAGAATCACACTGAGACAAAATAACCTATCTCCCCATKTAGTTTTTGGGTTAAGTATATCCCAAGTTTATGTGGAGAAGCTCATCATACATTCATGAATTCTTGAATTAACAAAGGAAAATGTCCCCAGACTGTCCATAATGAAAACCAGACTTTTAGAAAACAAAGCAAGTTATTTCATTCTTATTTTCTACACTGTCATTAAAAAYGATAGTGTGACAAACTAATGCTAATTATTTAGGTTGCTCCATGTCTCTCTATGGTATTTAGTTAAAAGTAACAACTGAAAAGTACATTTTAGTTTCATTAATATAAGACACTTTGATACATGTGGATTTGCATATATATGAATGCATGGTCTTGATATATATATGTATATATAGCCATTGCTAGGCTATACTGAGAATAAAACAAAGCCATGCATCTCTTCTGTTATTTTTGTAAAAATTGGTGTTTTCTCCAATAGTTAACTGTAATATATACAAAGAAAAGTAGCAAGAAATGAATTGTCTTGCCATTTTGTTAAAAAAAAATAGAACGATGATCACAGAAACACTCCAAGTTTTTAAAACRAAGGAGAAAAGCACTGAAAATTAGTATTTTGGAAGAAAAATCTACTAAATTTATTCAAGGATGTTCTATACTGTATTGCTGCTCTAGATTTATCAGTCAGCACTGACATAAGAGTCTCAAGCCAGAGAATGCATCTTGTAGACTTGTGCTGCATTGAAACCCAGAGCATTATCAGGGTGGCTCTCTATAATGGCACAGCCACCCTCTCGACACAGCCCAGGGACTGAGGGCTGATGCAGCTGCAACTGCTGGACATACTTTGCTCCTTTCTGTGCAACAGATATTGCAAAGTAAAAGTCAATGATATGTGAGTGGCCAACAGTTCAAGGGTGCATCTCACAGTCCAGCAACAGACTCCTGCACAGTTACTCTTTAAAGTGCATGAGGTTAAAATTGACATCTCGCACTTCAGCATTGCATACATCACCCCATCAAATACCAAGATTGCCAAACAGCGAGGAAAAAAACATACTGAGGCAACAAACTAAAAAAATGCAAAGTTTACTAAAATAATTCAGGAAACTGAAAGCTTTGATTAACTTTSATAAGAGATCAGCTGTAAGCAATTGAATAAAAACATAGTGGAACTTCTCACTATTTTTCTTATTCCAGGATTTTACAATCTTTCCTCTTCCTCATCTCCAGACAGATTATTAAATTAAAAAAAAATGCTTATCGGTATTAATTAATACCAATTGGAATAGTAAACTAATAGCTGAAGATGATTCTTCAGTGCACAGAATAACTGGGGATGCTGGTATCTCAGAGCTATTTTAAGCTAATCTGCATGATTCCTGGGCAATCTTTTCCCTGTCTCTCAAAGGTTAACTCAAAAATCTGCAAGTTTATCTTACAAGAAAATTTGTTAACAACCTTATGATTGGCTGTTTGCGTCTTCTCAATGTTTTAAACAACTCTACTTTCTGTCACACTGCATTCATGGGACAATGTTATTTATATTCATTTTTGGTTTCATTTTGTCACTGATTTCATACTGTTGTTTTACTGGATTTTGGCATCTGCACYATCCCAGTGCTTGGAATGATTTTTTTAAGAAAAGACCAGCACACTTGCTTATGCAACATACTATTATGACATATTTGGGTACAAAGGCATGCAAAATTCACCATGAATGTGACAAGGTCTACCTGTGTTCATCTCCTGTGGCAAGTGGAATGCAGGAACTTTCCGTCTTCCCATGCACAGTAAGAACTGCTAGGCACTTGTAGCATCATCCTAAATGAAAGGCACAGGCCAGGCCTGAAAACTGCAGGATTAAGGAGAATCTAGGGTTTTTCAGGTTAAAACCAGATATGCAGATGTGAAAATAWTAATATGACTTTTGATAAGAGACTTTAAATATCAGAGCTCAAGTCAGATTCAGACTTGCTACATTATTGGCTTTTAAAATGCAAATTTAAATAGTGGGTTGGTTTATTTTATTTTATAGATACACTTGCTTTTCACGAGACTTGAAAAACAAAGTTTTTATATGTAGGAACCATCTTTTATGAGAAATTGAATTTAATATCTATGACCACTATATAGGTTAGGCCTACATGAAAGAAAGATGAGACTTGATGTACCAGCYCCATACAAATAAGGCCATCATACACCTGAAAATGCTAGGAATGATCAGGCTTGTTTTTAWGAAAGTGGACTTTTGGAGCAGTGATTTTGGATCTCTCAGTCATCCACAGAAGATTTGCCACTATCAGAATAGAACTACCCACCTTTTTAGGTGTCGTGTCAAACTGTACAGTAGACAGAKCCTAATATCTACAGCCTAAATCTACGAGCAGTTGTATTTGTCAAGAGTAGATATGAAGCTGTGAACAGTCTTATTTTTATGAGCATAACAGATTTAACTTTTGTGGTCTTTAATTAATCCCAGATATAAAAAGCTTCTTAAGTACCTGTAACTTACCATGACTTACCTTGCATCTGTTAACTAAGTGAAAAACACTACAGGAATACAAAATGGGTTGCAGATGAGAAAGAACATGGCAATAAACTAATTTGAGAAGCAAAATGTATGCAGGTTTAAAACAATTCCTTTTCCATAATGAGAAATAGCGGAGAACTTTCTGTCCAAGTTGCTAATGGAGACAATTTTAAATAGTCCTTTCTTACAGTAACAGCAGTTGAAACTACTTAGCTCTTTTCATTTCCCACGAGATGAATATTGACTGAGTAATTACAGCTATAATCTCTTCAGTCTCTTTACAAAAGTTTTCTGCAGAATTATGTCATTAAGACAGAGCTTACTGTATGTAACATGCCTATAATTCAATTGTACTTAATGGCTCCGACCTACTTAATTTTACCCATTTTCCTTTGTATTTGGAATTTCATTAATGCTTTGTCATAGAAGTTTATGAAATAGATGACAAACAGAACATAAAATTTTCATTTAGATATCTAAAGATACTGACTTAATGTTATAACCACATTCAGAAACATCCAGATACCTATGAAGAATCAAAAACCATTTCGAGAAAAACTCCGTTTTTATATTTAAACTCTRTGTCTTAAGCACTGTGAAAAAGTTTATTTTTGAAGTCTGTGTTGCTCCTTACTCTGCACTCCCTCCAAATAAATGAGCCAATTTTGTACATATTTACAATATTTAATAAAGATGTCCAAACCAGCAAAAGTTTTTACATAAATGTTTCAGCACTTAAAATAAAGAGAAGCATTTAATTTGCTCTCAGTTCAGACAGTAAAATTAAATGGAAACATAACAGCTTTTTGCAGAAAGAATGCATTAAACCATTTCTCTCTGTGGGGAAAGGCAGTATCTCAATATGATTAACAAACCCGAATTTAATTCAAGCAGTTACTAACCCTATCCTAATTTAAATGCTTAAATGTTTGCCACCTGACTGATATATAATCAGCTTATTTTGGAGTCTGCATTAGTATGTTTTACCAAATCCTTGAAAGTTATTTGATAGGGTTTTCTATGAATTCTTTGGCTACRTATGTTAAGGAAGTTAAATACACGTGAAATCTACCAGCTACAAGTACCTTAAAAATAGTACACATTTACAGATTATACAGGGCAGAGTGCAAATGTCAAGAGAGAATTGTTTTCAAGGACTAAGTTACTTACAACATCCATTTTTACATCCCAAACAGAAGGCTGTAGRCAAAAAAATTGTGATTCTTAAGATTTAGAAATCTCTTTGAAGAGCGTCTTGATCACCTAAAAATGCCTCAAACTGAACCATTGCTTCCTGTATTGTTATCACTTCTAGTTATGACATATAACCTGCAGTGTCTGCYTCCTCTTTTTTTCTTTTGAAGAATATAGAAGTTCAGAAACTGCTCATATAAAGAACAGAAACACTGGTTGTATTCCCATATGGAATTATAATGACTTTAGATTCTTTTATGTCTTCTGAAGATATCTTTGTAAGCAAATATGAAAGCAGAAATCCATGTCAGTCCTCTGAAAAAGCTTTGGGTTATAGTGATTTTGTGAAAATATTTAATTTTCTTCTTGCAGCATTTCTTCTATTTCTTTATCCCAGTTTTCATCACGCTTTTCTGATTCTGTCACCACCTCATACTCTTGAAGCTCTTGTTGTAATTCCTTTTCCCAATCAGCAGTTTCTTCTACAAGAGATAAATGATGTGTAAGAATTTAATTGATAATACTGAAYGTTGCTTATTTATGTAAAACTAAATGAATTTGCAATAGATCTCTTTTATATTGCCTAAACTTTATGGACAATTCTTCTTAAAAACTAAAGAAGCTTCAAGATCATAAATTTCACCSTCTTATTCATCACAAGTAGAAATTAATATGCAAGCATATATTCCTATGTGCATGCTATAATAAAGATACAAAAAGCAAATACACAGCAAAGTCATTATGAGTGTCCCTTTGCAAGATAATTTTCTACAGTCTTTCACTCTACCATCAACTGAATCTCCCTTTGCAATTTTAAACCTGCATAAAAAAGAAGCTTTACAAGTGTTGATATACTGTTACAGAAAAAAGAAATCAAAATCTAGTTTAAAATTATGAAGATGGTATTCTCCTGACTTACACCTGTAGCTAGGCAAGCTCATTTAATCAGGGTTAAAGGTAATCATATTTCATACTTCAGGGCAAAAAATGAGTCAGAAGGCATTCCTGTATTGTTAATCTCAGTTTTAATTAGCTCTACCTATCAAAGGCAAGCGTGTGGGGGAGGAACTGGGCGTTGGAAGTGTTACACGTTGGTGAGTACTTCAGCCTAGATCGGAAGGTACGCAATTCCAGAGTCCAAGTCAGTACTGCCAGCTGAGATTTCTCTAAACAAATAACACATTAATGACCTATTGAAATATATTCTTTCATCAAAGAATTAGATGCAAGAAACTGGTATTCTACATTACRTTTTCTTTTTCTTTTAAATCAACCTCAGAATTGCTCTATGTAAGAAACCAAGGTAATAGTAGCTTTACCTTCTACTATTGAAGTCTCTTCTTTCTTTTTGTCTAGCACYAGTTGTTCCATTTCTTTTCTTAGATCTTCCTGATTCAGATTACAGGCATCAAAAGCATCACTCACAAATTCTGATACACCTGGACTTGTGGAAATCTCTTCCTCATCCTGCAACAAGACACTTCAGGTATAAACTTATCCAGACAGGTAAAAAAMCTCACCAATACATACTTCCATTCATGTGACTGTTTTTAAATAGAGCTGTCAAAACCTGAACACACTACTCTCACAACTATTTTTCTTTATTGGCTGCTTTTCCTTAAGAGTATTTTAGTAGAAACAAAAATGTTAGATAGTTATACTGAAAATGATCTGCTTTACATTCTAGGCTATCTTTTTGTGTTCTCTTAACAACTTCAATTCTGATTTTGTAATCTTCAGAAACAATAACACACTCCTAAGTAGATTAGAACAGGACCTAAATATTAAGAATTTGACCGCAATTCAGTAACAGTTCTCTGCACAAGAGTAAGGTTAAGAGAGGACTGTTCTTTGGAAATCTTTGCCCACTGCGTACTATTGGCAAGTGAATGCACAGCTCTGCTTCTGCCAAGAGTATTCTCTGGCACCAATTTTACAATCCAGAAATGAACAAGGGTCATTATGTGTCTAAGGTAAATGTTTTTGCAGTACTGGTTGCAGTGCATCATTTACATTTCCTACACTTCAGCCTGACCACTGCTTGAAGAGTTGGCCAGAACATGGCACACAAATACTTTTTTATAAAGGTACTACTCGTGTCTCAATACARTACCAACCTTCTACTYCAAACATTTTGGAAATTTCACTCTTGAGAGTAAAATCACATCTTATCATAATGTGCAGGATACTAAAGAAAACATTCTTCTGAAAAATGAGTTTCAAGATTATATGCTAAAATTAATATCACAGCAAAACAGCAGCAGGTTAGGACTGTCAGACACTATATTATTACGGTTTCATAGCAGAACTTACTCAAAAGGATGCATAATTATTTATTAAGGAACAGCTTCACACACTAAATACCATGTAAAATATAACAGCATTTTTACCTCTTGAGATTTTATTTGAGGCTTTATTGTAACAGGTGGTGTTTTTGGCCGTACTGTTTCTGTCAAGAGGAAAAAGAAAWGATTACATTTAAATACATTAAAACCTCATTTAATTTGCATAACTATTAAATATACAAAGAAAATACTGYATTTTAAGGAATCCTTCTGGTTAAAGGCTGAATTTAGCCACAGGTGAACCATTTGCAAATACAAAGTAAAAAAGAAGCCATTTGCTATTCTTAATTAAAACAAATTTAGCAAGCCACTTCCTCATTATGACTCCAAATTTAAAGGACGGGACCCCTCTGAACCTCAAAATCCCAAGATCTTTAAAGTTACAAATGCATAGACTTGATCATGAAATCCAGTCAGTGTCTATCACAGAAGTTCTCAAACTCCCCTGGCTGGGTATTACCACTGACATGGGTGCCAGTCTGGTCATGGCAGGCTGCATATGTACTACGCACATCCCTAAGTGCACATGTAAACAGTGTTCTGCAGCCTTACCTCTCACAAGGCAAAAGAAGTCACTTAGAAACAAACCCTAGAAGCTGTCCCAACTTCCTAAGAAAACTTGCTGTGCATTCTGTATTTACAGCATGGTGCTAAGAAGTCACCTGTTTACAAGCAAGGTTACATCTTTCCCCTGGCARGTAAAGGAACACTCCAGGTTTCTTCCTCATGCAGCTCTCAGGGGAGAGGAGTTACAGTGAAGAGCCAGGTGGCTGGATTAACAACAGAGGAGGCTGTGGTAGTGATGGAATGCTTGCTTAGCAGTTCTGTTGGCTTACACATGCAAACCAGCTCTGAGCTTGCAACCCTGCTTCCTGCAGGGTGCCCAGGTGGACCCTTCCTACTAACTCGGCAATTCTGATTTTTTTTGTTTAATTCTTAAAAATCAAGCCCTGCTTTAATTAAAATCATCCCTTAATTAGTAGATGTCACTGCTTTTATAGCTCATCTACTCAATGCCCMCTGCTCTGTCCCATCCTCTCTCTTCCTTCCACTTCCTAATCTCCAGAGGATCTGTCACTGCACTCAAGGCTGCAGCCAAAGAGGCTCCAGCATTTCCTGCTTGGGGAAGCTGTAGGACATGTCAGTAACTCTTTGCTGTTCAAGAGAGGCGCCTCAGGCCCCACCTGCTGCTCACATGCAGATGGAACACGGCTGCTCTACACTGTGCTGAGCCCCAGKCAGGTGTGACTGATGTACCATTAGGTTTGTATACTTTTAATATATAGCTGTATAGTTTTCAGCACTTTCTCACATTTTAGAACAGTAGTAACCCTTTCTCACATATCATGCCACATTCTTGGAATTATTATTCGGTATTATTTTCAAGGAAAAGAATTTCTAATATGGACATCYTGTTTTGCATCAGCACCAGCATCAGCATTTGCATAACATACTTCATAGATGTAGCAAGATGTAGTGCTAAGAGCCCTCTGAGGGGCTCCAATGGGGCAGATCCAAGGGTGGATTGCCAGGGCAACGTTCTCCTACTGATGTATTCGCTAGACACACTACGTAGTTAGACTTCTAAAAATTGTGCAAATTTGATGCTGTGCATGCACATAGGTACAGTACATGCACCTGAAAGCTTTCATTAAAAGACTGCYCTTTATGTTTTTAATTTTTCTAYTGTTTGGATAATATTTCTTCCAATTTTAGGCAACAGTGTGGCCCCACGTGGGACAAAGGACCCTGTGACTTCTCTGGATTGAATTACATCCTACAAGGCATTCTTCTGCCAGGACTTTTCAAAGAATTTCCTGCAGCAACCTAAGAATCCCAAGGTCCCAAGATCCTACACAGGAGGATCAAAACATCAAAAGCAGCTCTTTTCAGTAATTATTTGCTAGCAATTGCAATTTGTTTTTCTGGAATATTGGGAGCTCTCCTTTTAGGGACCAGGATTATAACTTTTTGTGGGATTCCTTTGGTATTGTGAAAGTCAGTTGTCTTTTCCAGTCTATGGAGACTCAACGTGGCATGGCCTGAGGCTGCTGTGGGTTTTGTGTGGGAGGAAGGACAGGGTGGGGGGGACACTTGCTTTCACTTTTGTGACACAGCACCCAGACGTTCTTCTGCCCTTTCTATTTTGTTTGGAGCTCATTTTAGCYCAGCTCGGGCAGCTTTTTGCTGCTTTTTGGGTGGTGTGGCTTCTGTTAGGGAGGGGGGACGCCCTCTGGAGTGCCCCAGTGCCTCTGACATTGCAGTGGCATAGCCCTGCCTGTGCCTGCTGGTGGCACACAGCATTGGGAAATTGTTTTGGTATCCGGGAGGCGTGAGTTCAGCTCCTGGACWGGGAAGTTTTTTCTCACTGTTTTTCTGCCTGAAAACAGAATATGGGGGGTGTGGACAGTCGACAGAGAGAGATCCCCAAAAATTCCCCCCTTGGATTAATATTACGGTATTGGCATCGTTTAACTGGCCCAAAAACGTCTCTTGAAAGGCAGGAATTGATTAGATTAAGCATATGCCTTTGGCCGTCTCACAGATTAGAGGACGGGAAAACATGGCCAGAGTTTGGATCTCTGCAAATTGAAACTGTGTTACAACTTTTGTCTTTCCTAAAGAAGGAAGAGAGATGGAATGAGGTCATGTAYGCACAATTATTTCTTATCTTTATACAACACCCAGATTTACAAAAAAATAATGAATCCGAGAAGGCTCCAGTGGAACTTTCGGGTAAGGCATTAAAGAAGGATAACAGGAAACAGAAACAAAGTAAAAAGAACACTATTAGCCAAGTCTGTGCCAGAGGCCCAGATACATCACTTAGACATGTTGATTGCTCCAAATATGAGGGGACTAACAGGTCCGAGGAGAGGCTTGGCTGCTATGACTGTGGTCCCAGGAGTGTGGCAGGAGGCAGTGCCACCTCTGCGCCTCTGATCCATGGTGCAGCTGCTGCTGCTAGAGAAGGGGCTCCCACCATTACAGGTGGAGGCAGGGGTGGGGACATGGCTCCTGCAGGCACTGCTGCCATRKCTCCTGTGGCAACTCACCYGCTCAAAGAGACTTCTGCCWCTCGAGAAGGGGCTTCTGCTATTAKAGGCAGAGGTGGAGGCGGGGTCACATTCACCCCAGAAGTCAGAAGGGAAATGCAGGGTCACCCTCCCTATTCCCCTCCACTCATAGAAAAGAAGGTTGCAAGAGCAAGAACCATTAAAAGTAACCCTGCTAGCACAGACCCAAATACCTCTACTGAGGATAGGTCAGATATCTCCGCTGAAGAGGAAGAGGCTGAGGGAGAAACATCTGTTACAACTAGGAAGAGAAGGGGAAGAAGGGTACTTGAGGCCTTGGTRGCCCCCAGCCCTACTGTTACAAGCACTAGATCCAAAAAGGGAGAAGCTGCTAAACCAGCTCCCCTGAGACAGGCCGTGGGTAAGCAGGGTCCTGTCTTTATAAAAGTTCCCTTTTCTCTTGTTGAGTTGCAACAATGGAAGGACTGGGTTGGGGAGTATAGCAAAAATCCAGAAAAGGTGGCTAATTTTGTAGAAAGAGTCATTAGATCACGAAATCCAGATTGGAATGATTTGGAGGTTATAATGGATACATTGCTTGGTAGAACAGAGAAAGAGATGGTTAAAAGAACTGCTCAATCTGCGATTCAGAAACAAATAGCRGCCAAAACTCTTCAAGGGTCAGTTAGTGATTTTTTCCCTTTAGAGGATCCAAACTGGAACCCTAATGTAGCAGAGCATATGGAAAGGCTGAAATGCTATCAAAAGTGGGTGGTGTATGGCATAAGAAATGCTATTCCTAAACCAATAAATTGGTCGAAATTATACCACATAAAGCAAGATGAAAATGAATCCCCAATAGACTTTTGGAATAGGCTCAAAGAGGCTGCACAAAAATATACAACTTTAGATCTCAATTCAGCTGTAGGGAAGGCACACATGATCTATCTGTTTGTAGGCCAGTCTGCACCTGATATAAGGAAAGAGCTGCAAAAGACAGATATGACAGATATAGGTAAATTATTGGATATAGCTTGGATGGTGTATCAGAATAGGGATCCAGAAGGTAGGGATTCAGAGGGTAGGGCAAAACCATTGACAGTGGCAGAGGATGATTGCCACAAGCATCATAAATGCCRTCACTGTCACAAGTATCATAGAGGCAAATGCCAGCATGGTAAGAGGGCTGATCAGGAAAAGGTACCTAAGGTATCTAAAAAGGGTGCTGCTGYCCCTCTGGATCAGAATCAGCATGCTTTTTGCAAGAAGAAAGGACACTGGAAAAAGGAGTGTCCAATATTGGGGAAAAAGAAATTTCCAGACCCAGCTCCCAAACTGCCTGTGAATGTGGAATGAAAAGAACCAACGGTTTCTTCCCTGGCAGAATATCTGGTTATAGCTAAGCTGGGGAAAGACAAAATTGAGTTTTGGATGGATATGGAAGTGACATGTTCCATGTTAAACACTTTGGAAGGGAAACTGAGTCAAGACACTGTAAAATGATTGGGGCCACAGGGGTAAGTAAAACAAMACCTTTCTTCCAACCTTTGAGATTTAAATTGGGAAAACWTTGGGTGACTCACCAATTCCTCYATTTGCCAAATTCTCCTAAGCCTTTACTGAGTAGGGATCTCTTGAAGAAATTAGAATCTGAAATTAAATTTTGCAAAGAGAAGGGGAGTAACAATTGTAATTCCCGAAACTAAATTTTTTGAGGCAGCTATCCTTTTAGGACTGTGGCAAAATCCCCATAGAAGCTGAAAATGTTGTCATCCCAGTAGTGTGGAACAGTGATTGTCCTGGGAGATCCAAATGTGCAGAACCTGTAAGCATTGCACTCAAACCAGGAGTCACACTGACAAGACAAAAACAATACCCTTTGCAGCTAGAAAGTTGTAAGGGATTAGCACCTATAACTGAAAAACTTCTCAAATTTGGGTTGGTAAAAAATGGTATAACATTAATCCAAATATAACATGCCATTTTACCAGTAAAAAAGCTGATGCTAGGAGCTATTGATTAGTACAGGATTTAAGAGAATGAACAAAATAACAGAAGATATATACCCAGTAGCAACCAACCCCTACACCCTTCTGACCACACTGACAGATGATTCAAGGTAGTTTACTCTGCTGGATCTTAAAGATGCCTTCTTCAGCGTGCCTGTAAATAAAAACTGTCAAAAGCTTTTTGCTTTCGAATGGGAAAATCCTGAAACAGGGAGATGAACCCAACTCACCTGGGCTATCCTACCCCTGGGTTTCAAGMATAGCCCAACCATATTCAGAAATCAGCTGGCAAAAGAACTGGAGGATTGGAGAAGGCAGCAGCCAGGAGTTAACTGTTTTACAATACATGGACAGACAATATACTGATTGCTGCCAAAAATCTAGACAACAGCATCCAACTCACTGGAAGTYTGTTAAACTTTTTTTGGACTAAGAGGGTATAGAGTCTCAAAAGAAAAATCACAAAGTGCCAAGGAAGCAATGGCTTATATGGGGATCTTCTGGAGAAGATCTTCTGTGAATATCAACAACTCAGCAGAGATCAGAAAGAAGCCATCTGTTGTCTTCTGGAGTCCCAGACAGTGGGAGAAATGTAGGCTTTTCCTGGGAATGGTAGCTTGGTGTTGCTTGTGGATACCAAACTATGGGTTACTATTTAAGCCTCTGTTTGAAGCACTAAAAGTGGCTGATAAGGGAATCCTGATATGGACAGACAACACCAGGGCCACATTTAAAAAGCTGAAACATTCTTTGATGTCAGCTCCAGCATTGGGACTTCCAGACTTAACYAAGCCTTTTGAATTATTCATGTATGAGCGTGAATGACCTTCACTGGATGGCCTGAAACTTACCCCTGTTGTACTAACACAGCAAAAGAATTTGTAAAGTTTTGCTCCATATGTAATTCCAAGATCTGAGGTTCCTTTGGATCTGTCCTTAGACAGAGGGCCACACTCTATGGGGTCATTCCAACAGTAGGGGGGGAGGTCAGTCGAATTCTGGGAATTGTTTGGGATCTGCATACTCCCTACAGACCCCAGGCGAGTGGTTTTGGTACCCTCAAAACACAAATTAGCAAAATTTGTCAGGAGACACCCATGACATGGGTTCAGGCCTTGCCTATAGCATTACTGGGAATCTGSATACTACCAAGGCAGAGGGATAACATCAGTCCCTATGAAATATTGTATGGCAGGCCCAGGGAGMAATTCACACCTGACTTRCAAASTATTTAACARCTCTAAGMATCACTTTGCAGAAGCTCCAGAGAKTCATCGTGTTATCCAGACCCATAGGACTGGACACACCTTCTGGTCTCTTCCAGCCTGGAGACTGGTCTATGTTAAATGGTGGGACAGTGACCCTCTGCAGCCTAAGAGGAGAAGACCATTTCAAGTCCTGCTGACTACTCGAAGYGCAGTCAAAGYCACTGGCAAAGGACCTTGGATTCACTAGTCCAGAGTTAAGAGAGCCTCTGCTCCTGGAACACCTGGAAAAGCAGAGACTGATGCAGATGAAGATGATGTGGTTTAAATAATTTTTTCTGTGTTTACTATCTTCACAGCTGGTAACCATGATTCAGGTTTGGAACCAAAATTTGCATGTRACTCTAGTTCAAATTGTATCCAATGCTCTGCATAAAAACAATTGCTGGATTTGTACTCAAATGCCAACAATTGATGAGGATAACAACTAGCTGTTAACTGGTGTTTTACTCGATTTTCTGCGAGCCTCACACGGGGCTGTGTGTGCAATCATTAACACCAGTTGTTGCTCTTATATAGATCAGAGTGGAAGAATTAACGAAGATTTGGCTGAAATTTGGAAACAAACTCAAATTTTACATCAGGTAACTCTYGAAGATGACTCATTGGACTTTAAAAATATTTTCCATACACTTACTTCATGGTTACCAAACTGGACTTGGATAAAATACCTTCCTACTAGCTGTATTCGTAGTTACATCATTGCTGTATGATTCAATGACATAGTTTCTGTTCACCTTTATGGTTTAATGTTAAATGCAAGTGCTAGAGACTAGAAAAAGATAGAATTTTTTGTCAAGTCTCTCAAGGGGGGATATGATGCCTAAAGATTTTTAGCTTTTTTAATGTATTTGTAGCTTTGTAGATTTTAAAAATATAGCTTTTCTTTACACTTTAGAATAGTAGTTGCCCTTTCCCACATATTATGCCACATTCTTGGAATTCTGTTTAGTCTTATTTTCAAGGAAAAAGATTTCTAACAAGGACATCCTGTTTTACACCAGCACCTGGGCCAAAACAGTAAGATACTTTGTAGACAAAACAAGATACAGGTGTAAGAAACCTTTGAAGGGCTCCAATAGGGCAGGGTGGGTTACCAGGGCAACTGCTATATTGCATGTACTTTATAGATAAGCTACTTAATTACTCTTAAAAAAATTGTGAAAATTCAATGCTGTGGATACACATAGGTATAGTAGGTGAACCTGAAAGCTTTCATTAAAAGACTGCTCTTCATGTTATCACTCTAATACTGTTTKSAAAGTTTTTCTTTAGATTTTAGGCAACAGTGTGRCACAAAGTTAATTAGCTGTGCTACAACAAATGTTTCCCATACCTTTCAGTTGACTATCCTCTTTTTCTCTGCCTTTGTTCTCTTCTTTTCCTACTGCTTGCTGTTGAGCTGCAAGTGCGGTGAGTTGCGCAGACTGTTTAATTAGGGACACCCTGTAGAAATAATTTCTCCAGAACACCTCCTCCTTTACACTAGAAAGAACAAAAAAATTTGATTATCACCTTTGGAATATGGTTCCTTTTACCATCTAGCAGTGAAATAAAATATGCAGAGAGGAGGAGTAGTCATAGCTGCTATTTAAGTAAAAACTTAAAAGGAATATGTGATATTAACACATTTTWAAAAAATCCATCATTGTAGAAATTCTTAATTTCTCACAAACATTTGCAATTGACTTGAACRTATTACAGTAATGTTATAACACTTTTTTCAAATTTAACAGCATGCAGCAATACAAGGCATGGAAAAATATTATGCTCTTCCATCTCGCCTGACAAATTATGTAAACAAACCCAACAAGTCAAACAACTCTGTTCCCTTTACTTCTTCTCATAAGCTTAACATTCTATTATTGTCAAACTATAATTGTCTACATCTTCCCTAGACATCAGGTGACACTGGGTGGCAGAAGCCATTCCTAGATTGCAGCAGTACTATTTCACTATCTGCACATCTTTCAGCACATCCACAGAACCTTTACTAAAACTGTCATCTTGGAAATGACCAGCTCTGGTAAGTGGGAGACTATCAGATATCTCAGGTAACATTTCCCTCTGAAATCCCTCCTGCAAGAAAGAAAAGATCCAACTTTAACCCAGAGGCAACAGAAGGCATAAACGGCAAGATCTGTAGGGAAGTACTTGTGCAGGTTGAGAAAGAAAGAGTGAAGTCACCTTCTCACTTAGGCAAATGCTGACCACTAAGGCAAAAAAAAATATTAAGCAATGTAATAGAAAAAAACAAGGATAGCACGACCAGAGACTGAAGACAGAGCATCAGAGAATATGGGCGAACTTCAGAACTGACAACAGAGAAGAAAGTAATAGAATGAGGATCTGGGAAGGTTTATAAAAGGAGGGGATTTGAGACAGAAAATGCCACAAAGATTTGCTTTCCTGTTTTCACCCTCAGACGAGAAGGCTAATATAGGGAATTCCCACTTAAACAGAAAGCTGACTTGTGAAATAAGCTTTAGGAGCAGAATATGGGACTGGACAAGGAGTAACAGCTTGGAAATAAAGCTCTGCAACAAAGACATTTTCTTCCCATTTCCTATCCAAATCCAGCTTTTCGTGCTTGCATTGCTGCTTTTTTTGTGACACACTCTATTACTGTTTCTCCAAGGGGAGTCTCTGAMTATCTGTAATCACCTTTTTGGGATGTCAGTTACACCAACAGATCTAAACACTTTTGTTGTTGCCTTTACCTTTCTTTGGGGAAAAAAATTCTTTTAATCTAGCACACTGGACATGGAAATACCAAAGGCCTCTCCCATACTTAAGTCAACAGGTCCTTAATAATTCTGTCTCACAAATACACTGTTTTCTTACCTCCAATTGCTAAACTTCAATGCACATGCATTATTCCATGTGTTAGACACTAGCAGATAAAAATATACATACACATGGGAAGAACATAAAGAATTGCAGGAAGTGAAAACAAACAGGAGTAATTTATGAGTATTTACAGACCCCTTAAAAGCATGATGACACAGTTACCAGCAGAAATTACTTACTGTTTGGGAACAAGGTCAAACCTCATCCTATTGAGAAGCTCATCTTCTTGTAACATCACCAGTGCAACGGGGTACATCTGATCAAAGTCGAAATGAAACTGTACACCTGCTGGAGGATCCCGYAGAAAATTCCGTTTATCCTTTGAAGAACATATTTATGGTCATTAACCGATATCAGAAAAAGGACACCATATTTCACACACAAGAACAGCAAAACAATCTCTAAAGCCTTTACAAAAATAAAAACTATACTGAGGATCTGCTTTGGCTCAAGTTGAAACTGATAGAACTATTTAGTCTTGCACATGATCAGTACAGTGACAGACATATTAAAAGTATATTGAAAACACATAATTTAATAAACTTACATTAAAAAAAACCCAGTAGTTTTAATTTCTCTAAGAAATTATTTCTTAATAATTCTGTAATTTCTTACAGGAAATAAAATACTTACTGCTGATAAGGCCAGTATTTGTTGTTGAATTGTCTCCTCTTCATTGCTGTCTACCCAGGGAGGCACTGCTGCTTCTATTATTGAAAAGAGGAAGACAATTGCATGTGCATTATTAAAAAAAAACCCACTCCAAATAATAGACCTTACATAATGTAACACACAGTGTCACAAAACCAAGCAGAGTTACAGCAGTAGGCCTAGTCATTGTTCCTTTTTCCTAAATAAAGTTCATGGCATAAGAGAGAAACCCTAGGAATGGATCTTTGCTTATCAGAGGTAAAAGAATAATAACTAAATAGTTGCTGGTCTGGRTTATTGCAAAAATAGAACTGTGGGGATTTCTTTGCTGCTTGCACCAGTCAGAACTTGGTGCCTCTTCGATTACTTACTGAAGTAGTGCTGTATAACTGGTTAAGATCCCTGCAAATAGTATTTCCAGATTCACTTTAAATGTGTAATCTTTGTCTAAATTAGGTCTGCAAAATAATTTACACCCAGAAGACACCAATTCTTTAACAATGGAGAAAAAAGTTATAAATTTATTATGACTTACAACCCTCTATACATTGAGTAAGCCTACTCAAGTTCAGCTGGTTTATATCTTTAAGCAGATACTTTCAAAATASTTCTTTAGGCTGCACAGAGAGGAAAATAAACTATGTAGATGTATAGATATTTATTAATCTCCTCACTGTCAATGCAAATTCAGCCTACAGAGACAATATGATGCATCTTTAACAATTAACAAGTAATAATTGTGCCATTAAACTAACAATGCTTATTTGCCTGTGCAGCTGGTATCAGCAAAATCTTTCACCCACATGGATCCACATCTGATGCTAATGCTTCTTTCAGTCAGGCCATCTGTTATTCCTCCTCTGGCCAATCTAACTACCTATTTTCAAGAAGCTTTTAGAAATGTATTAGGAGAAGCCCAAGTTTACTAACAGACAAAAAGAAAGAAATACAGAAACACAATCCTACAAGCAATCTTATAAGAAGAAAACAGACTAACATACTAAATACAGACACTATGAAAAATTTTATCACAATCCATTTAAAAYCAGCTCATTTTCAAGATTAACAACAGAGTCACTACATATTCAAATTGTCAGAAATTATTGATTCAGGTAATACTTTAAAAATATAAAAGTCAACGATGAAACAATGTGAGAAAATAACTGTACTTATTTTAAAGTCATAAATAAATCCACTGATGTCAATAGTACATGGCTGGATAACTCAAATTATTTAGATCACAGATAATTATAAAGCAAATGATTCATGGGAAAGCAAAAGAGCAATTGTGCCTTTAATGTAAGTAGAGTAACTCCTGCAGAAAACTAATTAAGTACTATAAGGCAAACCCTAAACCATGTTTTTTATTTCATTATGAAAATGTGGCATGATTGCTAAAGCTCAGRAGAAATCAACATGCCTGTTTTCAATAAATACATAGGCTTCAGATTCAAAGCAGCACCAAGAGATCAGCTATGCTAGCATGGTGATCTTTGAGTTTATATCATAACTCAAAATGAGTTAAAAAAGCAAATCGAAGCCAAGTAGATAATGTAAATTAACCTCACTTAAAAATATAATCTTCCTATTCCACCACATGCATTAAATTCTGCCATAATGTGTTTCAACAAATAGTGTTTTGATAGATTAGTTTTATATATGACTCAATTATCCAGCTATCAGCAAGTTTTCACTTACGTGATGTTAGGCATCATCAWAAAAAGCAAACATTACCTGATTTTTTGTTTTGCTGCTCTTGGACAAATTTCTTCTGTTCCTTCTGAAAATCTCCAATAATTGTCTAAAATAAAAATTAGGGAACCACAATTAAAAAATATTCACTCTTTGTTTTATGTTCAGTCAGAAAGTGCTTTCAAACAGTGAAAACTCTCATATCAGTGGTGACCTTTTTTTAAATTAAAGGTGTTTCATGTCAATCCTACATGTCCTTTTACTGAAGCATTTGATTTTGCATTTAAAACTATTGTGTATACTTTCAAAATTATATTTATAATTTTATCAAGCTCAGGGAACAAGGAAAGAAGATGGAAAGTCTTAGCTGATAATTTGCAYATTGGTATACTATGCATATCCACCTAATGTCTTACCAAATCAAATACAGACAACACAGACTGTTTAAACTAATTGAAACATATTTTTAAAGCACGAAACACTTAAACATATCTTTGGTCTTACAGTAAGTTTCAAGAGTTGCCTAACAAATATATCCATTGCAAGAAACTGGACTTCCAAAATTGAAAAGCAGGATTTCAGAATGTCTGCTTAGCTGAAACAAAATAACTTCTCCATTTATGTTGTTGACAAATTTTCATTAATCATAATCAGAAATATTCTACATTGAATTTAGAAACAAAAAAATTGAGAATGGTCCCAGGACTTGGCATGCCATAATCTAGATGTAAAAATGCAAATATTCTGTGGTTGAAAGCAGAGGCAAGAAAGATGAAGCTAGAAATGAATACTTAAACTACTCACAAAATACAAATTTTATGCAGTGTGGTCTATGGATTAACAAGTTGCCAAAACGCACACAAATCGTCAAGCTAAATCCTGATAAAATTCCTATATTTTTTTTCCTTCAGCAACCCAGTATTTCAGTTTAAGATTATTATCAGTAAGAGAACTACAGTAGTGTGAGTTATACAAATAGATCATTGTGGTTCCTTCTGGTTTTAAGCTACAAGAATTTTTTCTGTTCATGGAATAAAATATTTTATACRGTATAAGAAGAAAGCTTTATGATGATACAGCTTTAATCTTGTTTCTCCCATATGTAATACCTATTAATCAAAACAGGGAATTCATAGTACTCTAAGACATTCACAGGAAAAAAAAGGTATATTAGGTGCAAAATATGCTGTAGGTACTCAGCGACAGCTTACTCGGAGCATTAGTATTTGTGTATTAAATGAAAAAATAACCTCATTACTTGATTTTTCCTCTTTGATGTGGATCAAAATTACATTAGACTCTGACATACTGTAGAAAGAAATACATCTCTGCTACTATTATTAAGACTGTTGTCAATGAAATCTGAGGACAAAATGTAAAATGTCATCATAATGGAAATTAATCTTATATCATTCAGTGATTTGTTTGGAAGTCAACATGAACACAAATTATATCAAGAAATAGAATTTTATTGTATTAAAAAACCCAGGCAATGCTGCAGTTCCCCTGAAGGGCTGTCTGAGTGGAGAAGGAAAAGGGCTTTGCCTGTGTCAGACACTCCTGGATGCAGTCTCACTACAGCTGGGATTGTTTTGGCCAATTTCCTTTCCCTTCCAASCTACTCTCAATAACAAACCAGGAACACTACATGGCACTTGTTGCTGCCTTTTTCTTTTTTCACTTTTTATTCTGCCAAGTTTGTGGCTTAAAACACTGCAAGAACACTTGCTGGCACAACTAAAGCAACTGGAGCTGACAGACAGGAACAGAGAGGGCAAGAGTTACGTGGCAGGGTCAGGGTGGGGAAAAGAAAAGGACAATAACAAGGTGTTTCATTAGGTCACTGGCTCTTATGAAACTGTACCTGTATAYTCCTAGGGTCTTAGGATACAATATCCACAATGCTGAGCTAATTMTGACTTTTGCTGCAAAGATGTATTAAAGATGCAAGCTACCTCATCCCTTTTTTCCAACCAAATATTGTGTGGCGCAAAAAGAAACCAGTCCACACATCTTGGGACAAACATTCTCCAACTGCCTGTCTCAAATTCTTCCAGCCCTTTCACCCATGTCAGCATTTTTCTTATTTTCTTCTAGTCTTTCTCCAGCATATCAACATCTTGAGGGAACTGAACAAACACAGGTGCAGCACTGAGTAAAGCAGGGTGACCATTTGTTGGCAAGTGTACAATGAATAAACATTTCAGTCATATCCTCATGCATAATAACTCTTGAAAGATGTATCTAAAGACAGCATAAAGAAATGTCACTAAATGCCAGATTTGCCACATAWAATAAAGGTAAGCAAACAGATCTTTCAGATCAAGTATCTAGAAATAAATTACCTTATCGATGATACTGTCGATTTTTCCTTCTTCTACAGACTTCTTTATCGTCTGTGCTGTTTCAGCAACAGATTCAGATATCTTTTTTGTAGCAGCAGTGGCAAAATTGAAGAGGTAACCTTTCACAGAACAAAAAAGAAAGACCTGAGAATAGATTTATTTACATCCAGYTCTCTTTCCAGGTTTATTTTTCCTTCTCTTTACACATTTGGATACCTACTTAAGAATACCAGCTTCTGGCCTACAAAAAACTCCTAAAATTCCACTTATCCTTTTCTAGTTTATATTCTCTAACAATGATGRTCAAATTGTATGCTTGATCACAACTTTCTGTAAATCAAGCATTTATACATGAACCTTGTTTATTAAATCAAATATTCCTAATGGTCCTTGAAATCCTTCTCTGCAATGAGTTTTCTAAAGCAATGTGTCTTTTCTGATTTCATGTAAGTATCTGGAAGACATTAAGCCACAAAGTAACTTGGCTACAATATTAAAACAAAATTATATTTAAGAAAATCAATATGCACAATAAAGCCTCAGAAACTGAGGCAGCAAATCCATGAAAAAATCCAAGTCACACTTCCTTTGAAAGTCTTAGCATAGAAGTTTGCTCTTGATGTTTGCCCTTATCTGTTTTGCACTGTCTTCCTCTCTTTAGCTCCATGAAAAGCAGTGTGACCCTACTGGCTCGTTTTTCGGAATATATTCAGTGTCACAACARCAGTGACAAATATTCTCAAAAACTCACATTTTTCATATTAGTGGTGCTGAAATACAAAGAGGCGGCAGGGGAAGAACTACATAGCCTGGCCATCTATACTGTGTAGTTCTACTTTAACTAAAGAGAACCATTTTGCAAGCAGCAAGAGGTACATCATACACTCTCAGAAACATTAAATAGCAGCTTATTGACAAGTGATTTTAAAATATTGGTACTATTTGTGATATGATGTCACATTGGTACTTTATTAGATCTGAACGGGTATGCACCCATTATGATTGTAGTACCTCGGTTCCAGTACATACATTGTGACAGTGCCATAGTAAATAAAATAATTGCAGAGGGATCTAGATGGATTGGAACACTTGGGCAGACATCAATGGCATGAAATTTAACAAGAATAAATGCTGGATTCTGCACCTGTGACGAGTATAAACTGAGAGAGCAGTGTATGGAGAGCAGCCCTGCAGAAAGGGAYCTGGGGATGCTGCTTGGTGTCAATAGGAGTCACATATTGTAGTTATTCCAGAAAATCACCTTTGACTTTTATACAGAGGTCACACAAAAAAATATCCAAAACCAAACCAAACCCCAGAACCTCTGTTTCAAAAAAAAAAAACAACCTTCCTTCTCAAGAACTCTCAAAAAAATCCAATTTCCCTCAGGGTTAGAAATATGAAAAATAATCTTATCTTTACAAAAAAATTCCTTTAACACACAGTTCTTAGCCATTGGTAGAATAAGTTACTTTGGAATGCTGATGTCACCTTTTGGAAAGCTGACTATTCTTGGTGGTGTGTAAAATGTTCTTTTGTCATGATATCACCAAATCAATACTGAAATATGCAGAGGTCTAGCCAATCCTTAAGCAAGGCATTTTTTTATATTTAACTTTCACTCATAAGTCAGTGAATGGTGRTAAGCAAACATCCTTCAAGCACTTACTAGCATCTTTTATATCTRTTATGAGGCTTTACAATCCATCACATGATTCAGGTATAAAAAAATGCTTAACTTCTACACTTTAGATATGGACACATACATTATCCTCCTTATGAGAGCAGAAGAAGCAGCAACCTACTGATTGCTTCCTCCCTACCAGCTTTTATTGGTTGTTTCATGTATACCTGGAAACTCTCTCATACGCAATTGTTTTAGGTGCAAAAGGTGCCGAGACATTTGCTGTCTGGTGACATTCTGGCATTATTGCACAAAGGGGTTTTAGCCAGTCCTGGAATCAGGCTGAAGATTAAAATGCTTTTTATTTCCAGTAAGAGTAAACATTCTTTTGAAATAAGGGACTATAAAACTACAGAAGGGGTGGTACATAGTCTTAGAAAAAAAGGATTTGTGGTAGAGAATAACACTTTCAAATTACTAAGAAACTCACCCTCCATATTACAAGGCTATGCCTGCATTAAGAATATGTATACACCAATATTTCTATTATTAGTTTACATTAGCAAAACATTCATAACTTCTGTAATAGTATGATAATGAGCAAAAAAKAATGTCTATAAGGCTTTGGTTTTACCAGTAAAATTCTTTATCTGCCAGGGGASTATTTGTACACAGCTACCCTGTTGGCCATACAGATGTTTCTAGGATTATGTGTTAAAAYAGCTAGAAATCCCTTCCACCACAATCTACACTGGTGACACAGACAATGAATCCACGGACCACTAAACCAAATTTTTGCTTACAGTGCAATTTATGGGATGGATATTTATATAGATAATAGTCRATACTTATTCTGCCCCTGAAATCTAAAGTCCGTTTTCTTTCCTGAACAATCACAGCGACTGGCAGATCAGAACAGTCAAAGCAATTAGCAGATTAGAATCAATTAACCACAACTAGACAGGTATTTGACCAAACTACACAGACTGAACTGCTGCAGTTCAGCTTGCCCGAGACAAAACACAGTAAAGAACCAGCTCAGATTAACTCCTCAGATTGTATTAACCCCGAATTTCAGAGCTTCAATTAAAAAAAAAAAAAAACAAACAACAAAACAAAACAAGAAAATCCCTTTAGTAATGAATACAGATCTGTAGTTTGAATTAATTTTATCCAAGAATACACGACAGTAAAGCAGGAATTTTACTTACAGTAAATTACAGCTTTGCCCCATCCCTGGCAGCGYTCAGGGCCAGGTTGGATGGGGCTTTAAGCAGCCTGGTCTAGCAAAAGATGTCCCTGTCCTTGGCAGGGGGGTTGGAATGAGATCGGCTTCAACCCAAACCATTCTGTGATTCTAAGACTGCAGATATGTTCAACAAAATCATCAAATCCTATTATTATCCTATGAAAAAACAACAAAAGCCCACAGCAATTCATGAAGTACATCACTCTACACTGACATTCTCTCTACACACTGATCTCCTCCCACAGTGCCAACAGGGCAGATACTTAGGRAATGTTGCTCTTTTAAAAACAGCTCGGGAAAAGGCGAGAACCCAAAGGCACAATTGCACCCTTGTTTCCTTAGTTGATATTCGCAATCCGGCAGTCCCGGGACACTCACTGCCGAGTCCCTTGGCCTGGCTGAGCAGCGCCTCCGAGTCCCCCTGCAGCTCCCCCTGCTCCTGGGCGGCCAGCCCTGCCTCCTCCTCGCCCTCCTCCTCCTCCTCCTGCTCCTGCTCCGCGGGGCCGCTCCTCTTGCCGGCGGGCAGCAGCTGCTCCTCGCCCGCCCGCTCCAGCCCCAGCCAGCTGCCCAGGCCGCGCAACATGGCTGAGGGGCGGCTATGCTCCGCTCCTCTCCGCTCCGCTCCGCGCTCGGGCCGCGCCGGCGCCGCTGCGGAAACCCGGGCGGCCACTGCGCGCTCCTTCCGCGTGCGCCACTTCCGCCGGAGCGGCCGCGGGAAGGGGCGGGTGCGGGCGGGACGGGAGCGCGGCACCTGTGGGGCGGGGGTGGCCCCGGCCGGGTGTGGCTGTGGCTGTGGCTGTGGCTGTGGCTGTGGCTGTGGCTGTGCCCGCACGTGTGTCCGTGTCCCCTCCGTGTCCCCGCGCTCGGAGGCGCTTTACCCGCGGGGTTGCGCCCTCCCCGGCAGGTGCCGCCCCCGTCCCCCGGCGGTGCGCTCGGCTCGGCGGCCCCGCGGCGGGCGCTCCTCGTCTGCGCTGCCGGGCTCTGGTTCGGAGCAGCCGCCTTTAGCACCTACGTAAGTCAGAGGCCTGTCCGTGCTCGGCCGCGGCGCTCCGAGCGCTCCCGTGGTGCGGCATGTTCGGGGTGCAGCGCCCGCAAATCCCTGCTGGAGGCGGCAGCTCCTGGAGATAAGGCTGGACAGAGTAATTCGCGTGCCACTTCTCAGCAAAAGGATTTCTTATAGTACTAGCTTTCAGCACTCCCTTCCCTATTTTCTCCTTCTTTTACAAGTGGCTTCCCAGACCACCTGGTGTTCTCTGTTCCTGTTTCAAGTAAACGCGTTTTTCCCGAAGCTGCTGGGAAATCGCTGTTTTTGCTAAAATCACAGCGAGCTTTTCATTTTGGTTTCTGTAAGCAAGGGTCAAGAGTTCTAAAGTGGCATGTGCTCGAGATTTATACCGTTGTTGAAACTACCCCCCGTTTTCTTGAAAAGAGCTTTGAAAATGGCTTAGGTATTCATAATGTTAATGTTGACAATTATGTTGGCTGAGTTCTGAAGGAACAGCCTGAAACAAAGGTAGTAGGGTCCAATTCCAAAAGTCTATGCTATTAAAAAAATTACATATTAAATGGCAGAAAAAAAATAATTGCTGATGTTCCTTTTTCTCCTGAGTTAAATATGTTTGATGGTTGTGGTCATCATTTTGACCATACTGACAAGCAAATAGTTTATTAATTGCTATTACCAGAAATGTAAGAGCTTTGATAACAAGTGTTGTTACATTCCTGAACTCAGTGTCCTGAAGATTTAGCCTTATTTATGTTACTTCAGTATTTCTGTTAGTTTGAGTGAAAGGAAAAATTCAAATGTTTATTGACTAGCTACTGCTTGTTACCAGCAGCTGAAGAACCACACTGCTTTATACTATTTATGATTTATACTGAGGGCTGTTAGATCATGTGCTGTTGCATGTTGTTTTGGATGAATTGGGTGTTTAAGTAAGGTAAGATTTTCTTGACCCTAGAGTTCTTGCTCTGTGGTGAGCCGTGCTGTCATTGTTCAAAAATTRTTCAGTGATTAGCCTCGACAGCAGCCTGAATGGAATGTGAATTCATTTAACGATGAGATACACACATAATCCTGTTTCAGATGGGTGGAAAAATGCAGCTTGTAGCTGATGAACATTGATGCCTTTGTTTGCTAAAGTGTATAAATAGTAAAATTTTGGTGGTTGTTTTGTGGATTTGCCACCCAGAAGCCCTTTCTGTGTAGATCTGTAAATTAATACCTCGATTCTATGTGTTGATCAGCTTCATCAGAACATGTTTAGGGACAACAGAGGTGTTTAAACAACATAGGTTTATACACATATTGCTGTATAAGCTGGGAAAGGTGAATCCTCCCTGATTCCAAAATAGTCAGTTTTGTTGTCTTGTTACTGAAGGTCATTTTAGTTTAGACTCTTTGCAGTCCGAGTGTGTGATCTTCCCAGGCATGAATTTACGTTTATCAGAATTTACGTGCATCTTTGTTGTTTCAGATTTCCAGTTCAAGGTCTGCATATGTGTGCAGGTTTTCCAATGAAGTACATCCTGGTAACTGGTGGTGTCATCTCAGGCATTGGCAAAGGGATCATTGCAAGCAGCATTGGCACCATCCTGAAATCATGTGGYCTACGTGTCACTGCAATCAAAATTGATCCATACATAAACATAGATGCWGGAACCTTTTCACCATATGAACATGGTATGAAGGCTAGTGCTGTTCCCTTTCGCATAAATGTTTGTAATTACAATAATGTGTTTTGGTTTAGTTTTTTGAAAGCTGATAGTGTGGTGTTTACTGGCTGTTTTATCATTATTTTGAAAGTTTAGTGCTTGCTGTGTGTTCTCAAGGGCATTGTCTGCTCTAAGTGAAGAAACAGAAGCCTGTTTTTTTGAAGATACTGTTATGAGCAGATGCTTCCTTTCTATAAACTACCACTTTACTGGGAAAATCCTAGCTGTAAGGCTTTCTCAGTTARTGCTATCTTAAATTCAACTTGATTTAAAAAACCTTTTAAATAGTGCTATAAAACTTGRARTKTAAGTCCTTAACARTTACTTGAGAGTGCTGTTCTCTGGRTATTAGTGCCTTCATGAGAGTTAACATAAGTTCTCATTTTAGTAAAAAACAATTGTGAAAAACATCAGTGATGCTTAGGGAGCCTACTGATGATATAATTTTAAAGTAGATTCATAGTTTGGTTAGTTTTCTAAGGCATGCTGATTGTACTGACTGTTGCTGATGATTTACAAGACGTTGCATTTATGTTGTTGAATGTACCTTCAGCTGTGTGGCTTGTGACTTGTACATTTATTAAAGACAATGGTCTTCAAAGTGTCTTCAGCCAGTAGACATTTCTAATAATTTTTATGTTTTGGATTTTATTTGCTTACTTTTAGTCCACACCAAAATTTTTGGAACTGAAGATAAATATGTTTATCTCCTTAACTGAAAAAACACTGCATTTTAAGTAGAGAAAGAGGAGAGCACATCAGACTTTTATCAAAAAGCAAAATTTACTGCAYTTTAAGGAGCATTTCTGCTGCTACTTAGGCAGTTGAGTGGGTCATAAGACTCCTGGGATGACTTGAGATTGTGAGGATGTATTCCTYCCCTGGATCAGGTACAGGGCAGAGGGAACATTTTGGTATGTATTTTTTTCACTGAAAGGTTTCTTTTTGCTTGTGAAGAAATACTGGCTTGCTGGGTTGTATATGGAAGTTGCATGAGCCAGAATGGTGAGACTCCTTCATTAACATTTTGACAGAAATACAATTGATGTGATTAATTTAGTGATTCCCAGTTAACTGTGGAGGCTTTTTAATAATAGATTTTTTTATTCTTCTCTTCCAAGGCCTGCTTAAGAGAAGTGTTAATTCCACTCTGCTTCTGTTGGCTTAAATGATGATTTAGGATAGAGGACATTATTAAGCGCTTCACAGAATCAGGCATAATTCTTCCCCTCCATTGTACATGTTGGAGTGATTTGTTAGGCAGTTCATTGAAATGGAGTGTTGTACTTTGGTAGGATATACATTTCTGTAGTCCACTTTTTTTTTTTTTTTGCATTAGTCCTGTATCTTGTTTTTCTTTTTTTTTTTTTTCCTTTTTTTTTTTTTTTTTGCATTAGTCCTGTATCTTGTTTAGCCATTGATTTACTGGGTTGTGGCAAAATATTTACAGTTTTCCTAAAGAGCTTTCCACCCATACCTCAAGATCTATCTAGCAACTTCAGTTCTGTCAGAAGTTGACTAGATTCAGAATTTAAGACTCTACAGGGCTAAGAAATGTCTGAACCTGAGGGATATTTTAAGTAGATTTTCCAAGGTCAGAAATAACCCTTGCTGTGGGCATAGTGAACCAAATACACTGGATGAAACAACCAACTCAGAAACAGTGATTGTGTTTGAAGAMGCATTTGTGTTCATCACAACCTTACTCCTGATCCAAGCCTTGATCATTAAAATAGATCCAAAYAACAAGAACTTATAGTGAAACACTTTGAACATGTATAATAATTCATGCTTATACAAGCATAATTCTTGTCTCCTGCTAGTAAATTAATATTTTATTTGTTGCTGATTTGTGCATCTTAGAGATTGTTTTCTTTCAATAAAGGTTTATTGKGCTATCAAAATGCTTGTTAAATATTTATGTCACTTAAATATTTTGGCAATATAACTTAGATTTATTTTCAAAACTATATGTGTCTGAGGGATGGCCATTAGATGTAAAACTAATGACTTGGATATTAACTCTTAAAAAATGAYAGTGCAGATTGAGTTGCAGTATGGGCTTTATTGATATGTTGTTTATATAATTTACAAGTTTTTCTTCTGTTTTAAGATGTCTGTGGTATTTCTGCTGTATGTTTAGTAATTTTGGATTATTGTTTTAGTGTCTGKTTTTGCTTTTCCTTTTTCAGGTGAAGTTTTTGTATTGAATGATGGTGGGGAAGTTGACTTAGACTTGGGAAATTATGAGAGATTTTTGGACATCAATCTCTATAAAGATAACAATATCACGACTGGAAAGATATATCAGCATGTTATTAATAAAGAAAGACATGGTGATTATCTGGGAAAAACCGTTCAAGGTAATTATTTTTAATTTTGTGGGATATTAGTCCATTCAGTCTTCACAAAAGAAGGGATCAGCTAGAACAGGCTGCTCCTTGCTGCTCCACCTTACTCCTTTCTCTGGTCCAACAGATATGTGTGTATTCCTGTAATGTTTGGCTTCTGGGCTCAAAGAAAGTAGAACTAGAGAAAGGACCTAGTAGTTTCCTCTTGGCTTTCTGTTAATTTTCCCCTTTTGCATGCAAAAGTTAGTATATGGGCCTGAAGTAAGCTGTGCTTGCCTTCTTTGGTTTTGTTTTGTAGTTGTTCCACACATTACTGATGCAGTTCAGGAATGGGTAATGAATCAGGCCAAAGTTCCAGTGGATGATGACAGAAGAGAGCCACAAATCTGTGTAATTGAGGTACGTATGGAACCTTTTAGGTTGTATATCTGCAGTGAACACAACCAACTTGTTTGCCTTCTCATTGCTCCTTACTGGGAAGAGGTCAGACTGAAGTTTTATGGAGAGCAGAAATGCAAAGACACATTTTATATTCTGTGCTTTGTTCTGAAAGTGATAGGCATGGACTTATCTCTACAGCTGCCATTTATTTGACTAAGACCATCTAAAATATGGTTGAAATTTGGCTGCTTAAGAGTTTCTTAACTTAGAGAATTAAARCAGACAGTTACTGTAACATCAAATGTGTATTCCAAGACCCAGATGTTCGACTGAAGCTTTTCACTGTTAATAGTATTGAGAAAACGTKTTTAATACCTGAAATCTCCTGTGGTCAGTAGGAGAACCTTTAACATTCTACCTTCCCATCAGACTTCCAWTGTTCAGCGTGTTATGTATTCATACAATGTGTAAGTTAGTTTCCCACTTTCTAATGTTATCTTTAAGATCTCTGGACGCAACTTTGTTAATCACTTTACTTGCTGATGCTCTGCACAATGAAAACAAAGAGTTTTACTCACCCTTTGTAGGGCATTGAGACAACTGGATGAAAGCCAGGAAATGCTATTATTCCAATTACAGCAGCAAACAATGAAAAAATATTAGGCTTGGGAATCTGACAGACAAGTATGTCACGGATTTAGTGCCAAAAGTGACCACTGTAATCAATAATGCCATAAACTTTGTGACCCAGCAGCAGAATCGTTCAGTGTTTCTTATGCATAAGAATCTGCCTTGATTGAAATATACTTACCAGTATAGCTTTACATCTTTTCATGATGTGCACAGTGAAAGTCAAATATTTCATTTAACACCAATATGAAAAAGTAAACACAAAAGTTGCGCATGATCATTAATAAGTGATGGTCATATCAGTTCTTAAAACTTAAGCTTTTTTTTGTTACACACTTATACCTCCAGCCTGATAAAATTATTTTTCTTCAGTACTTCAAAAATACTGTAGTATTTTTCCAAAGTAATGATGGAAACATCCTGAAGGAGTTAGACTGAATGTGTGTGTGATGTACAAATGTTGTCAGTTTTTCTTGTACTGGATGAACAGAAATATGTAATTCTGTCAAAAGCCGGTTGGTGGCACAGAAGGAGCATTCTAAAATACAACTATTTCATCAGGCTTCTGTGCTGAGCTGCTTTATTYGGGGCTTAGTCTGCTCTGGCTCGCTGTGTCTTTGAAAGGCATCTGATTTCCATCTTCATGAATAAAGTTTCAGCATGGGCTTAGTCTTGCATTTTGGTTTGGTTGTAAATGATCACTGATGTTGGAAAGCCATGATAATACTGAGAAATGTCTGTCTCTTGTTAATCACAAATGTTCGTTACTCTGACAGGAAATAAAGATTTTCAATACAAAAATCTTCGCATCAGTTTAACTATTGATTACTGGTTCACCACTTTGAAGGCAGTGTGAAAGCATGTATTRTTCAGCAGCACCACACATCTTCCCRTGGGATGCTTATGTATTTGCTGTAAAGTGAATATAAACTGTAAAATTGTTTAATGTTTTCCGTAAGAAACAAAATGTGCAGAGTAGATGAAAGCACTTTGTAGAGTATGCCTGCAAATTGCAATTTTCAAGGGKTTTTTTGAGATAAAAATTTCAGGAAATGTCTTGAAGTATACAAGACCTTTTGTTTTTGCTTCTGTCACTGACATATCCAACCTTTGCCTTTCAGCTGGGTGGAACCATTGGGGATATTGAAGGAATGCCATTTGTTGAAGCATTTAGACAGTTTCAGTTCAAAGCAAAAAGAGAGAACTTCTGTAATATTCATGTTAGCCTGGTACCACAGGTAAGTTAATAAAATTAATAAAATAAATTTCACTCTATAGTGGCTTTATATTTGTTTACTGTCCCGTTAACCCTTTCATGCTGGGGTCAAGTCAAGACCACTATAACTCTCTGTACAGAGTTAGAAGTATTTTTTCATTTGAACTCTAAATTTTACTTCACTATTCACTGGGGAGATTTTGGTAAGCAAAGATTTGTTATGATTATATATTTCACCTTTTATGGATGAAAAGATAACTACCAACTACAGCTGTGGATTACAGGATTGGACAATAATTGATAGGATTGATTCTGTGTATTTGAGAACAGAATTATGTACTATGTCTGAATATTCCAAGGACAGTCACTGAAGGCTTTGTGCTGTGTTGCACATTCTCTGTTTATTAGCCAAATTCAACTTTTGGAATATTCTTCTTCTTCYTCTACCTGAGCCAGTTGTATGGAGATATTTCTCTGAAAACAAAACAAAATAAACTTGACCTGAATTGTGACTCTATGGTTTCTTTACAGTATTTCATATACAAGTAATGACAGTGGTGCTATTTCTGTTTCTGTCATATTATGGCTCTCTTTGGATATGTTTATTTCCTGCAAATGTTATTACTTACAATTAATTTTTTCTTTTATTCTGTAACTGCTTTGTTAGTAGATGTAATTGCTATTTGAGCTTTCAAAATRTGCCTTTCCAGCCTAATGCTACTGGTGAACAGAAGACAAAACCAACACAGAACAGTGTTCGAGCACTGAGGGGTCTAGGCTTGTCTCCAGATTTGGTGAGTTAATAAATACAGATTTTATATTTATAGGTCATCTAGATACGTCCTTGTGTAACCTGTGTTCAAAGGATAAGCCTTAGTCTCTCAGGAGAGATGAGAATTTCAGAAGAAATGCAAAATATGTGCTACACAGCTCCATTAAAGCCACAGGAAATCAAATTACTCAAAATCACTCTAAGCTAACTTAATTCAACTTACTTCTTGCAGTATCTTGGGACTGTAGCTATGTTCTTCTAAAGGCATCTTTTTACAAAAATAATTCTTCACTGCTAAAAATAATCTGAAAACTTAGTTGCTTTGTAGGAAGGCATAGAATGTTTCTGTTCTAACATTCAGAAATTTTTTAATGCATTATTAAGAAGAAGCAATGTGAATATCCTCAAAAAAGAAAAATTATTCTTAAGAAGATAGTCACACAACTAAATTTTGTGTTATGCTTCTTTCTGGGTTTTTTTTTTTTTTGAGTACTTGCCTTTTGCATTTATGAATGAGTGTGTTTTTAACTACTAAACCAATGAATTTGTAAGTAGGATATGTGAAAGATGGTTGGTGTCAAGTGGTTGTGACATGGTAATTGTAATCAGCTTGTGCAAGGAAAGACTTGTATTAATGTAATGTACTGTATTCCAAGTTTCAGGGCCTAATCTCCAAAATCCCTCTTTTAGTGCTAATTGCAAAGGAAAAGTTGGTGCTTTTTGAAGGTTTTTTTAAGGCAATTACCAGTGCCTGACTTCTCCCTCCCCTCCAAAAAAAATTTTTTTAAAAAGCCTGTGGAGTAAGTGTGTGTAATAAAAGGAGAACAAACAAATGTAGTCACTATCTCTCTTCTTGAGTTCTTGCCTGGGGCAGTTCTGGGACTGCCAGGGGCATTTTTGTTTGTTGACTGCTGCTGTTGACTGCTGCAGCAGGGACAGGTCTCACTCGAGGTGCCCCCTCTTGGCACCCTTATAAAGTTCCTTGGGCACTGCTTGAGGGCAGTAGTGAAATGTTTGCTGTCTSGGCCAGGACAACACATGGGGCAGCCCCTACAGCAGCAGCCAGGAAAGYTTCCATCATGTGCTGTGCTGCCAGGCTGCCTGAGCTGGGCATCCTTTCAGAATCCCTGCTGCCTCCCTGCCTGCTCAGCTCTGTGTGCAGGAGCCTCTCTGTTCTCTGTGCMGTGTTCTGAGTGCCAGAGGAACACGCTGGAGCTGCAGAGATCATGTACTCTGATGCAGCTCTTTGAGCTTGKGAGTGCTGCCCTGTTGGATTCAATTGTTCCTCATCTTTTGTGAGGACATCTGTGGTGCACCTCTGCCACTGTTACTGTAGTTTTGTAATTTTCATGCTGATTCTAATGTTTTTAATACCTGTGTCTGCATTAAATGTGTCTCTGCAAGATGGATGATGGATTTCAAAGTGGGTTTAGTCACATGCTCATACTGTCAAGGTTTATGAATTATACCTTCAGTTTCAAAGTGTACCAAATTTTTAAGTATGACTTGTGCTTGAGTGAATTGAATGTAAAAATTGTTTCCATTTTGATTTGAACGTGTGCTAATTTTCCCTTATACTTGGCATTTTTTTCTGTTTCTAGAATTACTTGTAATTACAGGTAAGTTAATTAGACTCCATCAATATCAATGTAGCTAAGCTGCATTAGCAAGGTGATCAAAGGTCAGCTACAAGTTTCTGAACAAAAGGGCTTAATACATTGAGCAGTTGCATTTGCTAGAAAGATGGGGAAAGTAATGAACTAATCTCATAACTGGATCATCCTACTTTCTGATATACTTTYAGGTTTTAAAATAAGGTACTAGACTGAGTAATCAGTAGGCACTTTGATACTGCAGTTCTGCATTTTGAACTARCTGCCTGGAGATACAAAGTGCAGGAAAAGACCCATTCCAACAAACACCAGAATGTATAATTGTTTTATTCATTGGTTAAAAATTATCAATATTTTCTAAAATTACTGKGGCTTAAATGTATCAGTCAAATACTAGCAGAATACTTGCAGTAGTAAAAACTCCATATAAATATGAATTAATTTTCTCTTCTTTGGCTTCCTTTTGTCATGACGTGTAAATAAAACATTAAAAAGATGYTGAAGTACTGAAATACTCATGCATGTAAACTAAGTGTTAATGATCTCAATTTAAATCTGATCTTACTGGTTAGATTGCAAATTCCTTTTGATTCATGATGTCATACTTAAGAGAGTGCTGGGCTTTAGGTAAAGGGTATTACAGTAGTAGCTGCAAGAAAGGACAGCATGAGGAAGCACTATTACAGAGACTGCCCATGAAAGATGAATGAATATGGGTCAGTATGGGCAGGCGACTGATTTACTTCTGCCTTGCTAAGTAGATATTTGTCAGCTATGATATATTGTAGAACTCCAGAAGAGGGGAAAGAGTAAAAAAAGGGAGATTTGTTTGTGCTCTGCTTCCAGAGGAGATGAATTTCTCTATGAARTATTGAGGATCTTCTATTGGTTTGCCTGGTAAATTCTTGAAGTTTTTCTTCTGTTATGACAGATWGTCTGCAGAAGTGCAAAACCTATAGAGATGGCTGTGAAGGAGAAGATTTCCATGTTTTGTCATGTGGAGCCTGAGCAGGTCTGTATCTTAACATTACATGTGGAAAAGCATACAAATACATCTATGCATTTCTCTTTTCAACATCCRACTGCTTCATTAATAGTGTTTTGATAATTTTTATCTTGCTGTTATGGATATTATAGCATTTTCAAAATATTGGGAATGTATATGAAAAGTTTTATGTCAAACAGTTGTTAATAATTTAGATGCATGTTGTGTAAAAGTTAATATAAGGAATAGATTTTGAGTGCATGGTTAGTTGTTTTACACAGCATGAAAGAGTGTAGTTTTCACAACTATGGCTGCTTCRATTTGTTATTTATTATGATGTATTTATTACCCATGAATAATCTCAGATTATTGTAATCATGGATGAACAAAGTATAGTTAAAGCTGGGTGATTTGCTTATATCCACAGATGTCACAGCCACATGAACCCTCTTACTGTGATAATATATAATAGGCTATTTATGGCCTTTGACATGTATCTACTGTGTAGTTATATATCCTTTCATAATTAATGTGTGATTTTTCCTTTAATAGTTTGCAATTAATTGCTATTCAAATACTAATTTTGATTAATTGACTTCTCATTAATATTTTTGCAAGTGAGAGCACTTTACTCCTCAACATAATGGATAATATTAAAAATACAACAGATGCAAGTAATTATGTGGTATTTCAAATTGAATGGGCACATAGAGTGGCATGGGGCAGGATGCACTTGTACAAAGTTATGTGGTGAACAGAAGTAGCTCAAGGGTAATAAAGTGAATATCCTTCACTTCTCATGTCTGTCAGGGAAGAGAACACTTGTGCTCAGGATTCTGAGCTTTGTGATCTCAGATAAGCCAAGCACAATCAGCTTAATTGCCAGCAGCTCGGGTGCAATTTATAAATGTGTTCTTAACAAAAAGGTACTTGAATGGACTGCACTCAGTAATCACATAACCTAGTTTGCTAACAAAATACTTTTAGGAAACTTTATCACAATCAAATTGGGTCCATTTTGTTAGGTTTAATTTGTGGTCTTGGTTTTCATGGTTAATATATTTCTAATTTGTGAGAAGGGAAGAAAGAAGTGCTAGTGAGGATGCTTATGTGGCCAGATGTTTGCATTAAAACTGATGCATTGATAGGCTTGACAAGCCAGTGTGATGATGTGGAGGAGTAGAACACATTTTTTACTTCTTGAGTAACGTTTATCTTGTAGATTTAATGGAACCTTAAATATTAGCTGTGCTGTCCTGCTCATTCAGAAGGAAGGTACTTAAAAACCAGAATGTGTGTAGAATGAAAAAATGCATGTAGTATTCAAAAGTAGAATGCATGTTTCTTCTTAAAAATTKATGTAATGTTTTTGTGTTCTGTTTTTTTCTTGTTAGGTGATATTTATTCATGATGTTTCTTCTACTTATCGAGTACCAATCCTATTGGAGGAGCAAGGCATCCTTAAGTATTTCAAACAAAGGCTAAATTTACCTATTGATGACCAGCCAAGTGATCTTCTAATGAAGTGGAAGAAAATGGCTTGCAGGTATTCTCCATCCTGCTGCTTTTTCTCGAAGTGCTTTAATTCAGGTTAGGTTTCCAGCTGCTATGAAGCCACCAAACTGAACTGGGAGTAGTGGTGATCAACAGCTGTGAATGGTCTGGGTTTAAAATTATTAGCAATTTGGAAATTTTAGGAAATATTTTGTGGAGTTAAAGAAAAAGCAAACACTGTTAAAATGGTGGTTTTTTTTTTTTGTGAAATCTGGTATAGTAACTGACAAACTTGTTTTTGGCAGGTATGAAAGGTTGCTGAAGGTGTGTTCCATAGCTCTYGTTGGCAAGTACACGAAATTAAGTGACTGCTATGCATCTGTTTTCAAAGCTCTGGAACACTCTGCGCTGGCAATTAATTACAAACTGGATTTAATGGTGAGGATATTTCTGGCTTTTGCTTTCAGGAATACTTTCAATCTACTATTGTATCATTTTGTGACAACTTACTAGTTTCCATCACGTGAGGCAGTTTTAATTCATGTGAAAATTAGAAAATGAATCATGAAGATAAATATAGACTGACCAAGCATTTCATAATTTTAAAGAAATGCTTACAGATTTAATTATTTTATTTGGAACTAAACTTACCTGAAAGGAACACTGAAGTTACCTGAAACTGGATCTGATGAAAAAGCACAATTTATCTGCACATTTATATCTACCATCCAAGTTAGATTTCACTTGTTTTTGTGACACATGGTTTTACAGTGAACTTGGCAGTCCTGTGTTAGCAGTTGGATTCAGTGATCTTAGACATTCTTTCCAATCTAATTATTCTATGACAGGAAAAGGGCACATGTACCAATCTTAAAAAAAGAAAAGGAAAAACTAGGATTTGGGGAAATGGCAGGTGGTCAGCCTTTCCTTGTTCTCTGGGAAGATTATTAGCAAATACTCTTAAAATCTTATTTCTATGTGCATGAAAACAACAAAGTGGGAACATCCAGAATTGATCCCTGGAGATTTTTGGATCCTGGCTGGAAGTAACCCTGAGCAACCTGCTCTAATTTGACTTGCTTTGAGCATGGAGTGGGGCTCCAGACCTCCCAAGGTCCTTTTTGATCTATGTGATTGTGTCTCTGTAGTGTTTCATACTGACAGCTGCATAGCGGGAAATTTTTATGATACGAAAAATAGCTTTGCTTTTAGCAAAAAAGGTGAAAGGTGTCCTGTCTGCAAATGCACATCAAGCTTTGTGTGCAGCTGGTTTTAAGTTTGGTGGGGCTTCTGCATTAGCAAGCATGAGARCTGATGCTTGCTGAACTCCAGTGCAGGGTTCAAATGTTAACAGGCACAGCTCCCACTGTACTTACCTGCATGTCCAAACCTCCTTTTAGTGTTCTTGCCCAAAGGCTGTCAGTATAATCCTATGTTCTGAAGTAACTGCTTCATCTGAATGCTRTTGATACTGCTTGAACTGATAAATGTGTCTTCTCAATATGTYTGGCAAGGAAAATAGAATTAACTCCAACTGTAATTCTCTTTCCAACYTTGCAGTATCATGGTGTTCTTTCAGTTGTAAGTTGTCAGTCCTGTAGTAAGTATTCTTCTAGTATAGAATAGCAGAAATAGTTATTTTTCTGTTGTGTTTTTGATGCCTTCTTGAATGTGGAAAAAGTAGAAAATATTTGCTAGAAGGCAGTCCTGTCTGGGAAACTTTCAGCAATCTCCTTGTAAGTTGCATTTCGCTGCACACAGGTGAGTGCTGCCATTTCAAATGATCTCAGGTTATGGAGGATGGATGCTACGTCAGGATGTGGTTAATTATATTAATCTGAGAAAAAGACTGACAAAATCCAGAATCAAACTCTGATCTTTTGTGTCCCCAGTGCAGTATATAGTTCCCTCATTTTGTTCTAGCAGTGCCTCAGGAGCTGTGCATTTTAATGGCACTAGAAATTATAGTGCAGTATTTCTAGTAGGGCACAGATAATGAGTTTGTCTCCATCTCTACACAAGAGTTCCCAGGAACACCGTTCTCATAGACAATGCAGGTTTTTCCAGTYTTATTAGAATAAGATTGGATAAACTGTGGCACCCAAAAGCCAGGAAGGTGAACATCCTGGCCACATCCCATTGAGATAACAGGATAATGTCAGCACCACTCCTTGTATGGCCCTGGTTGCCATAGGAAGATAACCTGGRTTCACAGTTGGGAAGAATTCTAGCAAGTGTGCCTGCCTGGAGGGTGCTGAACAGGGCTTTAGGCAGACAGAATCCTGAGCTGTGTGCAAAGAAAGGGGCACAGATTGCTGCAATTAGAGCAAACACAAAATACTGGGTCTTCAATGAAATTATTACATGTTTGGAATTGGCAAATGCACTTGAGACTTTTAATAATTTCTCTAAACACTTGATTATATGTTRTATTCTGCTCTTTTCTGTGGAGGAAGAGACCATTTCATTACATATTTTTCTTTGTTAGTACATAGATTCAACAGAACTTGAGYGTTCTACAGAAGCAGAGAACTCAGTGAAATATCACCAGGCATGGCACAAACTGTGCAAAGCAGAGTAAGTAACATTGGGTATTCTATATCCCAAATGCAGACCATGGTATTTATTTCATGTGATGAAAAATGCTTCAATAAATCAAATATTTTCTCACTGCATCCAATCTTCTGTTACTTATGTGAAAGGATAGATTGCATGGGTGGTGAAAAGCTTCAGCAAATTAGTCAACCTATATCCTCATACTCTGCCTAATACCTCTACACAAGTTTCAGCTTTTAGGTTGTTGGTTTGGGGTTTTGGGTTTTTTTTGCTGTTGTTTTGCTTTTTTGGATATTTGGGCTTCCTTTGCAGTGTAGGCCAGCTGACAAAGGATTTTTGTTGTCATGCAGCATAGTGAATGGAGCTTGTAAATGCTAGTGACACCCTGCAAATATTTGTGTTAAGAATTGTTGCCAGGATTTAAATTCATATTTGTAAAGAGATTTCTCATCTAAGTGCATTTAAGCTTTTTGGTAATAATTAGAAGATCTAAAGTTTGGGTGTTAAGATTCAAGTGGTTAATAGGTAGCTAGTTTATTTGAGCAGTGTTTATTTAAGCAGTGGGAATTTCACTGTCAGGCATGAGATTGGTCAGATGAGAATTGGGGTGGGTAGATAAAACAAATCTCCAAATTCAGAGTTAATTTCTTTGTGTTCTGAATAGTAATGTTAAACATGCCTTTCATGCATTGTGCATGCTTAGTTATAATCTCAAAAGTCTTCAAGTTGTATGAATTCCTCTGCTGTTTGATTCCAAATGTTGATTCTGTTATTAATGTCTGTCTTTACAGTGGCATTCTGGTCCCAGGAGGTTTTGGAATTAGGGGAACAGAAGGCAAACTCCAAGCTATCTCCTGGGCAAGAAAAAAGAAAAAACCTTTCCTTGGTAAGATAATTAGAGTGAGAAATTATTGTGTTTAGGAGATGTATAGCAAGCTAATTGATTTGATTAAAAAAAACCTCAAAACCCACAGTAGGGAAGGAACCTGTCTTAGGGAAGTGCAAGTGATATTGTGAATACCTGCCCTGTAAAGAATTCCTAGGACTGTAGTTGTGTACCACATCTGTATAAAGAAAAAAAAAAGGTTTAATTTGCTATGTACAAAAGTGGAGTCTTTGCTTCTCACTGTAATTAAATCARTATAATTCTATATATTGAACAGTGTGCAAAAAACATAGGTGGCTTTGGACCACTTTTATGAAGTTAATTTTTCTCTTTTTTGATTTACTGGCATGTGTTATTACAGTAAAGTCTAAAGATGTCATGTGGCCTATAAGCAAAGTGTTCTTTGTGTAAATGCCTCTGAAACTTTGCTTACTACTCCACATTTCTTGCATTTTTTAAAGTGTCTGAGTAGTTGCCAAGGCAAAGTTTGAATCTGGATATGTCCAGGTTTTCAGCTTCTGTTTGTCTTTGCAGTAATTATTGCTAAAATAGAAGGGAGGAGAAAAATATCTTTGAAAGAGCTTAAAGCACATAATTGTGTCAGATGTATTTATAGTGTGCCAGACTTGAAGAGTGAGTTTCACATTAAGCAGCCACTTTAGATTTAGCTTTTTGTAAGTCTGTGTATATACACTGAGTATCAAGATTTCAAAGTAGTCCTGTTTAAAACAGAACAGCGTATACTTTGTCTGTCCTGCCTTTTGTCCTGGTAAATTCTGGATTTTTTGTTTTCTCTTCTAGGGGTTTGCCTGGGAATGCAGTTAGCAGTTGTGGAATTTGCAAGAAACTGTTTGAATTGGGAAGGTGAGCTCAGTGTGCTAGTATGAACATCATTTGCTTAGAAGAATTTTTATTCTCTATGTGAAATGTATGTCTATTTTTGCAACTGTTTACAGATCCTGTGATTGTTGGGTACTTAGCTCTTGCAGCAAGATMATTTTCAGCTAAGTACCCTGTGCTACCTCTCTGCAAGAGAGTAAGAACTCTTTGTTATGCAGATTCATTGAAACCTGCTTCTTGATCTGAAGAGTGTAGGAGAAACTGTGCTTGGAGTTGACCTCTGTAGTCTCGTTCTGAAGTGTGCAGGTGGTGAGGAGTAAAAAGTGAGAAGTGTTTTTCTCTCTTGCCTCCATTAGTCAGAGTAGCCAAAGCAGAGCTATTGCAGTGGTAGTGTGAAGMGATTTAACTCATCAACRGATTTCTATTACTAAGAGMAGAGAGGRAAGTGYTTTGGAAAGAAGGAAAGGCAGTCTATGTGTCTGAGGTCATATGCTTCATGTGGTTCCTTCAAAAGTGGTGCAGGATACATTTCAACACTAGTTTGAAACGTAATTGTTGACATTCCCTCCTGAAATGCCACAGAGCTGCCACGAGTTTGTAGTGCATGTAGAGCAAATGTACTGTGTTTACTCTRTACTTCTGTTTCAGATGCAAATTCTACAGAATTTGACCCAGACACAAAAAACCCCGTTGTAAGTAATATTTTTTTCCTTTATGTGTCTTGTGAACGTACATCTTTGTTAAAAAGGGAGTTATGTCTGTTTTAGTTAAAAATCTATCTCTATTTTTATATGGTAGGACATGAGGTGGTATCTGCTGTCTTTATTCAATATTGTTTAATAAGGTATTTTCTTTTRATAGTCTCTTGCCATTTCCTATTTGCTTCTGTGAATTACCTTAGSTTTATTTTTGTAATTTTTGTAATAGTTTCCTCATCTGTAAACTCATGCTGGGAATAGAAAATAATGATTAGGCTGACTTTACTAAGGAATAAAATATAAAAGGGAGCTGAGAAGTAGAGCACTAAACTTATTACAAAAAAAAAAAATTTATAGGACAAGGTAAGGATTAAATGGAAATGAAAAAGTCTTATTTTACCTTTACATTTACAATGTAAATGATGACTATACCCCTCCTCTCCATACATCTTAGAATCCTCCTTTTGACAAAAATTTCAATGCCCCAGATATGGCAGGGCTTTCTGCATCATATATTGATGATAGAAAACACTTTATTTCTGTAGTAAAACTCAAAAGTGATCAGTGAAAGAGGCTTTTTAAGCAAATGAAAARGAACAGAAATAAATATGAGAAATAAAGCAATATCGTGGTGTGAGAAGTAGACATCTGCTCTAGTGACTAATTCGGTGGGTTGCTCACAGTGACCTACTGTTTCTGTATGAATTTCCTTCAAAAGAATTTTGTTGGGATTTGCAAGTTAAAGGTACGTTTTTTTTCATGTCTGCTTAGTCTGAAATGTGCAAACAGGAGGGTTTTCAGAGCATTTACCCTGTTTGTCAAAGTGGCTGGTTTGCATAGAAAAGATAATCCAKCCTGAAGGTTTGAGGGTAAATTAAAGATCTTCAGAGTTTCAGTGTGAGACTTTCTGCTAAAACTTGGGGGTGTTTGGAGAAGTCCTCAGGTGAGTGAAGGTAAACTTTGCTTTTGGCATCAAATTTGTGGTCTTGCCATAATTAGAGGTCTCTTCCTTCCTCCTTGAGTATGTGCAAAGATGTGCTCTTTCATTGCAGGGGTCAATTTCATAATGTTGTAAAATGTGGAARATGTTGAAAGCTTTCTGTAAAATTTTGGGTTGTATGAATGGAGAGCACAGAAGACTGATTCTGAGGCATCCTTGTTTCTAGGGCTTTTTGAGTGCCAGTTTGATTTAATTCTGTGTAACYGGGTGATTTGCAGTTTGCATTCAAGGGCAAGTAAGGTAGATATGTTAAAGAGAAAATTATGTGGACATAAAGTTAAGAAAATAATGGAATGAACATATATGTCATAGAAGATTAATACCTGGTTTGCAGTGGAAGTAGTATTGTTGCAGTATGTATAATGGATATTCTGTTTTTCTGAGCTACATTAAGGTTCTGAAATTGGTTATTGCCACTTATATTTCAGCATCTTAATCCTGTCTTTGACATCTCAGTTCTGGACAAGAAACAAATGTAAATCATTCCAAGTGGGAGATTTGCATTRTCAATAATTAGAGCTGCTAAATAATCTGCCTTAGCAGAGTCCATCTTGTGCTGAAAGCTGTTTAGATATTCTATATAATCAATAAAAACAATTGGAAGAGAAGCAGATTACTGAAGCTTGTGAACTATGGAACTGATGTAGGTGTTTCATTATCCAAGAAAGTTAATTGGAATATATCTCTGGTACTATCTTGTGATGCTGCTGTGTGCTAATTTAGGACCGAAGCAGTGCACTTTGCTTTTGGTTTCCCCTCCTTTGGAAACTGGAGAGGGTGAGGAAGGATACTAGTGAGGCAGTAGTTACAWGTCCTTTTGTTTTTTAAAAAAGAGACAAAACTTGAAACATGAAGTTTGCTAGGGGACCTGAGTGGCATCATAAAATATACAGCTACTTTCATCTCTTAATTTACTGAGCATTCATATACTCAGAACTTTACTACTGAAGTTGATGGTTTCATCTAAACTTCTTAGAAAATACTTGGCCTCTTTTGTTTCCCTTTGTTGTCTGCATCTGTGTAAGTTTGAACCTTTTTGTTGCAAATAAAAATTGCAATTATCAAATACTCATGTACCTCAGTATTACACAAAATCCCAGAATCATTTAGGTTGGAAAAGTCCAACTTTAAACCAAGTACCACCTTGTCAACTAGACCAGGGCACCAGGTGCCRGGTGMAGTTGTRTCYTGAACCTCTMCAGAGATGGTGACCCCACCACATCCCTGGGCAGCCCATTCCTATGCTTAACAACCCTTTCAGTGAAGAAATTATTCCTGATTTCCAMCCTGAGCCTCCCATGGCACAGCTTGAGGCCATTTCCTCTCATCCTGTTGCTGGGAGGAGAGGCCRATCCCCACCTGGCTACAGCCTCCTGWCAGGCAGTGGTAGAGATTGATAARGTCACCCCTGAGCCTCCTTTTTCAGGCTAAACCCCAGCTCCCTCAGCAGTTCCACATCAGACTTGTGCTCCAGASCCTTCACCAGCTCTATTGCCCTTTTCTGGACACGCTCCAGCACCTCCTTTTCCCCAGGGCAGCTTTCCAGCAGCCTTCCCCAAGGTTTAGTGGGGGAGATGAGGGAGGTGTGTGAGCTCTGAGCACAGCCCAAGTTCTTGTTCTCATCTTGGKTGATTATTTGCAGGTTATGTTCCCATTATATGTTCTTAAGCTTTCTGCTTTACTTTCTAGCCTTTTTGAAAAATAATGATAGGTAAATTTTTCGTRTTCTTTGCAAGAAGATGATTATTCAGAAAAGTAATGCATTTGCTTGGGCATAGAGCTTGGGATGAATTTTCTCATGCAAATGGTAATTTCAAAAATAACTCCTTTAAAGGAAAAATATATAGTCTGAACTGTTAGCAAACTGGATTCACTGCATGGATGAAGAATTATTTGTTTTGCTCCATTTGTCTCATCTTCCTCTACTATTGCAATTAATTATTTTYTAATGATCCTTTTAGTTATGTTCATCAATTTTATTGCAACTGCATCTAATATTGTTCTAGAAAAAAAGATTACTCTTTCTGGAAATAATTTTAATGCTTTTTTTCTCTTTGATTTAAAAAAGCTGATTTTAATTGTGACCATTGTTCTTCCTGACCGATTATACTTTGTATAGCATCATGAACCTAAACTTAGTGCACTGGGTAAAATGACTGCATTTTCTGTATACTCAAGAAATTGTGCAGAAGTATAGTTTGCCAGTAGGTGACACTCTTAAAACATGTTTGTTTCCTGGTACTTGTGTTTCCTATTCAGGCTGTGAGTTACCTGATTGAATTCCAAAATTTCTAAGGTTGTCTAAGAGATGAAAAGGAACTTGTGTCTCACACATGCAAAAGCATCTCTTAAAATTCTGTGATTGTACTTAGGTGTGTAAAGTGGAGCTTAGCATAATGTGCAGGTAGTGTATTTAGTTTGAAATCAAAGCATATTAATTTAGAATACTTTCATAAACCAGAAAAAAAATACTATGTTTTCCTTTCTGCCAAGAAACAACAMATTTCAACAGCTAAAGGAGTTTTGTAAAAGAATGGCCTGGGAGCTTGTTAGGACATTCATACCATGTTTAAATGTGGTACATTTAAGCATTCTATTCATGCATCACTGGTGTGGAATACTTTATTCCTCATTTCATGGAGGGGAAATTTAGGGATAGGAACCACAGTAGTATGGGATCTTGAATGCACTCAACAGGCTTTGCAATTAAGCTGAGTCTTTAAGTCCTGAAGTCTGAGATCTAAATGATTTGTCAAGGTAATGRGTGATGTTGGTGTTAAAATTCAGTCTGAAATTTCAAGTTCTCTAGTAGGATTAGTGCCTAATCCACTGCTTGTTTGTCTTCAAAATGTCTGTTCTTTGTATTTCTCTTTCACTAATTTATTTTTAAAGTAAATAATAATGCCCATTAATCACATTTGTGAAAACACATCTGTCACAGGAATCATGCAATGAAAATGTTAAARCTGCACCAAATAAAACTAATGGATTTTAACTGCAACAATAGTCACTCAGTTTATAYATATACTTATGTGTTCCCATTTACAGAGTCACGACAAAAGAAGTACATACTTAGGTAAATATAGTWTAAAAGGAGCATCTAATGTTGCAGTTACCATACTTGGCATTTTTCCATTACTATTGAAAATAGGTACTTCATTTTCTAAAATTTTGAACTGCTTGCAGAATGAAGTGTCATMTCTGGGAATGATGAAACTGGACTGGGAGCAGTGTTGGATAGTGTACACTAGGAAACTCTCCTCAGATGGAATGCTGCACCTTTCTTTTGTGTGTTTTAGAAATGGTGAGATTTGAATTTYTCTGGAGGTACAAATAATAGCCCAGGTAAAGCAGGATTTGTTAAATAACACTTCAAATGTAGCATGAAATAGAAGCAGCAGTTCTGAACTAGTTGTAAGGCATTTTGTCTGGAATGTGTGGCTAGYGAGTGTGGAGGAAACACAATACAGACATACTTTATCTGTTAAATCTTTATTCCATATGCTTTAAGATAATAACAAATCTGTGGGTTTAGGTGTATGTATAATGTAAACAAATGCCAGGCTCTTCTTCAAAGCAGTGATACTCCTTCTTGCAGATTCCTCACTGTCCTGTACCAGTTATCTTTTTTACAACCATRATAAACTCATCAAAGCTGACAGAGCCATCCTTATTTTTGTCCAACGATTTAATTATGTTGTCAAGTGAGAATTGATCCTGTTTTTATAGGAGAAGAATTAAGGAAAAAAAAAAAAAGAAATTGTTAGATCGCCCTGAGCATTTTTCTATGAAGAGTGTTGCTGAGAAGTGACRCAGTCAATAACAGTCAGTGTTACTTGAAGGTGTTACTGGTGGTGGTGTATTTACTCATTTGACTGGTTAAACTAGTAGGRCAGTGCCTGCCATTGCCTGCCAAAAATGTTAACAAAGATATATAACCATTTGAGAAATACAAACTATTACTTCAGTCTTGTGGGTAAATTGGAATATGGGC